GCTTTTTCAATGCCTTTTCTAAATCAAATTGTAGAAAATGTTTAAATAAAAATCTAAAAAGAAAGAAATTGAAAAAGTAGTAGGTTATTTCCAATGCATATACATATGCAATTGCTATTTAGTTTGTATAAAATCAAAATGCCTTCCAGTACTTTTAATTAAAAGCTTGGTTAGCTTTAACTTTTTAGATTTTCTACTTTGCCTTATATTTAAATTTAGAGGACCTTCATAGAGCAAAAAAATTCTTCAAATATGTAAATAGAAGCGTACATTGAACTTTAAATAACGAATAATTGTTTTTTGTTTTTTCTTTGTTCTGATGCCTTTTTCATAAATAAAACCTCTTTAAAAATAGTATACTTCGAGAGCAAACATTTAGAGGGGGGAATATCAAAATAAAATATAATATAAAAAAAAATAAAATCATAAAATCATAAAATTCAATTCTATAAATAAAAAAAAGAGCGCTCAATTGTTGATTGTAGTAGGAAAAATTAATTGCATTTTCGAGTTAATCTGGCACTCAAAATTTAACCCACCAGCCTACCTTTGCTGTCAAAATTAAAAGCACAAGCCCTGTCAAATTGACAATATTTTCATTAAACAATAGTACCAACTACTTGAATCTTACAAATAAACTAATTAAATAATGCACTATATGAGTACAGATATAATTTTTTTTCTTGTTCTTCTTGTTCTTCTTTGCTATAGCAAGCTATCCTGTCCTGCTATTCAATTATCTTCAAGGATTGAATTATTAGACAATATATCAAGCATTTGAAGCCGCACTCAATTAATGACTTTTTTTAAATAAATAAATTAAAAAAAAACTCGGTTCAATTAGAAAAGAAAATGGGCGGACCAAATTGAAAAAAAAGAAAGATTACGGCAACTAAAAGACTGAGCAAGAACTTTAACGTTTTTTTTTTTTTTTTTTTTAAATGAGCTTGCTTTTTGATTTTTTACCTTTACCAACCGAGAACCGAATTAAAAAAGAAAATGGAGAACCAAAACTTTTAAATTATCATGAAAAAAAAAAAACCGCATGAAACTTCTGAAAAATATTAAATATCTTCAACATAATTGCTCAGTTAAAAAAATTTTTAACTTAAAAAAAAACTTTTTCAGTTTACAAATTTGTGTTTACTTTTATTTAATTGATTTCTGGGTCTCCGTGATGAAATTGCTATGGAGAGGGATTTATATATCCAAAATTTGAGTGCATTTCAAAGTTTTCCATCTAACCTTTTTTATTTTTTACTTTTTGTTCAACATCTCATCCAGTATTTGACTACGTATCTCAATAAAAAAAAACAACTTTAGAAACCTAGTTTTAGTAAAAATTTCAATGACCTCCTTATTTTAGAAAGAGAAGGTTTGTAGATACTGAACCAGTCTTAGACGTTTAACGGGGGATTCGTGCACATATATGTACTCACGTCAAACTCAGGGACCTTTTTTTTTTTCCTCCTTCCCTTCCCTTCCCTTCCCTTTCCTCTCCTTTTCTCTTCTCCTTGACTTGTAGTGACATTGTAGATCAAACTTAAGGAGCTGTCAGTTCTGTCGCGTTTCAAGGCACAATCTAATTTAGATTCTACTCTGAGCATGTTTTAAAAATCTGCTAAGGGAGTAGGTTTTCTTGAGTTCATTTAACTCCTACATAACCATCTCTCTTTTTTTTTTTTTCGGTCCGTTTTCTTAAACTTACGGTTTTTTAAAGCCCGAGTTTTAAACATTTGAAAGAATAGCACTGAATCATTTTTTTTTTTCGGTTGTTATGACAGCCTATATAGGAGAAATCTTTATTTTTATTTCTAAATCATGGCAATAGACGCTCGTTTGGGAGGGAGGTAAAAGAGATCGGATTTTCAAAAAATGATTTGTGTGGATCTCATGAAATAAATAGTTTGTGACGTAATCGGACTCTTTTGCCGAGATGTGATGTGTGTGTGTGTGTGTGTATGATGTTACTATGCACGCATATGTCCGTTGCTATAGAAAGCCTCACCTGCGTTTCAACCCTTCGTATAAATATATATATATATATATATATATATATATATATAAAAATGTAACTTTCCGGTGCGCACCCGCACCCGCAACCGCCACTACCACTGCCACTGCCACTCCATAGTCGCTACCACCACCACCACAATCATCATCATAACTATATAGTAGAAAACTTGTGTTTAATAATCCCTGCGTACACTAAGGTCTGCAGCAAGTAAACCACAGTATACATGTGTGTGTAGCAGAGTGGTTACGTGATCCAAGTGTTTGCACTGCCTAAACCGTCACACAAGAATGCGTTGCCGCCGCAGATTAGATTGTTGGCTGTTTTAGGAGAAGACAAAATGTGACGTCATGTGGGACCACCTCCTAATAAGAAAATCTGTGATGTGTGTTTCACATGCCTTTGGAGGAGAGGATATTTATATATATATAAAAAAAAAGAGCAGGAACGGAGTGAAAGGAGGTACACAAAAATAAATAAATAAATAAATAGATTAAATAAAATTAATGATAAGATGAAGCTTTAAGGATATTGAATATATATCAAATATATCAGAAAGTTTAGATTTTTTTTCTTTTTATAAGCTGCAAGCAAGCATCATTGTTATTGCGACAACATAAAGCAGCTTGAAAAATTATATATTAACCAAGAAGATTGCGACTTTTGATTAACTTTAAACCAAAGAAAATAAGGATGGAATTAAGAGGCTGATCAAAAGGCTATTTAGGATTGAGTTACAAGATATGAAAATTGCAAATAGGTAGCTCCGAGATGAAAATAGCCAGTATCTAATTACAAGTTGTATAAGACGTCCAAAAAAAACAAAATAATAATAATAATTCAATTGATTTTTATTTTATTTTATTTTAATTTTTTATTTTTAATATTCCGGTGATTATTATGTCATTTTCAATAATATACAAGTTCCGGAACCCGGTTCCTTAAAAAGACATGTATCGGCAGGTTGGTATTTCTTGGTACGTAGGTTGAAAAAGAGAGAAGGAAAAAGGAAGGAAAGAGGCAGATGGGACCAGACAGATACATAACATAAAAGTAGAGAATTACATCATTTAGAATGAAGAAATTGAATATAGGTTGGACAACTCTTTGTTGAAAAAAAAAAATACTTTTAAGTAATTGATGAAGCTAAATTAGAACATTTTTTTTATAAATAAAAAACGAACTCAAAAAACATAATATATTGGTTTGGTTTAGTAGTATGAGAATGATTTGGGACGGGTTACATTTAAATATTAAAGGTCTTCATCCTGTCTAAAGTGGACGAGACTAGGTAGTTTTGTAAAGTGCCACCGATAAGGGCAGTTTGGTAATTTGGCAGTTTTGCAGGAGGAAGGGTGGGGCCCATCACCACTTAACAATTGGCTAGTTTGTGGCAGACCCCCTCCAAAATAAAAAAAAAAAATGCCTAACATAAAGCATCAAACAAGATGAGTGAATAATAAAATAGGAGAAGATTTGTAAAGTAAACAATGTATTTTGTTAATTTTTAAAAAAAAACACGTTCCTGAATATTTTGAAAAAAAAAGGGAAAAGTATTGGATGGTATATATAGTATGCCTCATGAGGATATTCAACTTGAGGAATAGAATGGGTTCCTTTGAGATAAGTGTTACCTCAAAAAAAAAAAAAAACTTAACCAGTTCAACGATTCTTACAGTTTATGAAGGAATGAGTTTCAAATCAACAATGAAGGAGAAGAAGATTAAGATGGGATTTTTTCGAAAGTGAAAATTAAGGCGTGTGCGTGTACTAAGAATAATAAAAAAAAAAGGACTGAAGTATATAGATATGATTGACTTTAAAATTAGGATCCATTGATAACCAAGAGGTGATGAAAGACAAAAAAAAAAAAAAAAAAAAAAAAAAAAGGGGGACCAAAAAGGCTAATTCACGATACCAATGATAAGAAAAATGGAGGAGCATTCAAACCTCGGACTAAAGAACATTGATTGATGATGGCCTGAGATTCAAAAAAAATAAAAAAAAAAAAAGAAAAGGCGCAATCAATCAATTAAGTTAACTTGTGGTTGATAATAATAATAAAAAAAAAATACTCCATTTCTAAAGTCCCGGTGGGATCGTGAAGAAAGACTTTCCGTCAGAATTGCTCTTTTTTTTTTTTTATTTTACCAGTGCGCATAATAAAATGCCCCAAATAGGTCTTTTGAACCTTGTGAGATTGCGATAGAAACAAATGTGTGCGTGGTTTTCTAATCATCAAAGTCCGCAGTAATAGCAGTAGCAGCATCAGCATCAGCAGCAATAGCAACAACAGTCTTCGCTAGGGTTGCGCACACAAAAAGAAAGTTTTTTTTTTTTTTTTTTTATCTCAAAGCCTTGTCTGACAAATTAAAAAAAAAAAAAGGCGTTGCTATGGCAAATCCATCTCTATGTGGTTGTCAAGGCCACCTCACAAATCTACTGGTATTATTACGTATGGCCTCATTACATAATTTCTTACGTTACAAAGTTTTTCTTTTCTTTTTTGTGGAATTTTTTTTTTCTCTGCCCTTCTTCACCTTTTCTAGAGGAGGCTTATCGGAGCTAAGCATAATATATATGCTAATATAATTTCTCTATAACCAAAACTTATAGATGCGGCCCCTAATTTTGCAAAATCCTCTCCGTCATAGGCCTTCTTTCTCCCCCCCAACATCGTCATCGTCATTCCCATTGCAGAAACACCTGGAAACTGTAATCTTGAATCGTCACTTAAGATTTGCTCTCTCCTTTTAAAAGACTTCCGGACTTGTTTTCATGTTTTTTTTCAAACAAATTATAAATAGAGAGTGAATTCCTCTGATTTAGAAGTTTTTTTTTTTCTTTCTTTCTTTCTTTCTCTCTATACTCAACAACAATCTTCAACAATTGATCATAATCTTTACATTCCTTTGATCTGAACTTTTAATCAAACTCATTAACAATTACTTTTATTATAACAACTTTTCATTAAACAACTTTCAAAATGTCTTCTACCAAGGTTACTAGATCTCTCGCTGTCCCTAAACCATCAATCTCTACTGACAGCCATGGTAACTCTTCTTTCAACAGACCCATTACCATCTTTTCTGGTAAGTAAATACTAAGTTTATTATAAGCATTTTGCATTATTTTATAGTTAAAATACTAACGGCTGATTTTTTTTTTTTTTGACAGATTTCGATGGTACCATTTTCCTCCAAGACACTGGCCACATTCTCTTTGACAACTTTGGCTGTGGTCCTGAGAAGCGCAAGGAACTTGACAGTATGATTGGCACTGGCGAAAAGACTTTCCGCGGTGCATCCGAAGAAATGTGGGGATCTCTCAATGTCACTTTGGAAGACGGCTTCGTCAAGATGAAGGAAGAACTTGTCATGGACAAGCACTTTAAAGAATTCTTTGATTACACCATTAAGAGCAACATTCCCTTCAATGTGATTTCAGCCGGTCTGAAGCCACTTCTCAGACACGCTCTCGATGAGTTCCTTGGTAAGGAAAAGTCAGCCAAGATTGGAATTGTGTCCAATGATGCCACCATTTCCCGCGACGGCTCGGAGTGGATCCCAATTTGGAAACACGATACTGAGCTTGGCCATGACAAGGCTAAATCTATCCAGGACTTTAAGATGTCAGTCTCTGGAGAAATTCCTCTCATTGTCTTTGTTGGTGACGGTGTTTCCGATCTTGCTGCTGCTAGCCAGGCTGATATTCTCTTTGCTAGACAAGGCCTTGCTCTTGAGGAGTACTGCATCAAGAACCGCATTCCTTATATTCCATATGAGTCGTTTGCCGATATTCAAGACGAGCTTGAGAATCTCGTTGTTGGTAACAAGCACCATGATGCGAGCGCAAAGAAGCTGGCTTCCAGACCCTCGTATATGAGAACCTCAAGCACCAGCCAGGTTCCTGTCGAGTCTTCAAGAAATATGAAGCCTTCCATGCTCAGCGCCTATGTCAGCTAAGCTGCTTGCGTCAGCAATCGGGTCTAATTGAAGCTGGACTTTAATTTTTTTTTTACTTTTTTACATTTTGGGATTACATATTTTATCGGGTTTTTATCTTTTTTATTTTTTGTCTTTGCATTTTTTTGTTAGAACTTTTTAGAACTTTTTCTTTCGTGTATATTGAAATCAATTTGCTTTTTTTTTAAACTTTTTTTGAATTTTATTTGGCCTCAATGACGAAATCGTCAATACCATAAGTAGGGTTTAAAAAAAATATATATTTTATATTGCAGTAAAATGCTGATCCAGTTTGCTACAAAATAGCTCCACCAACTTTAAAACAAGACAAAAGAATTTGTAGATGAAGAAACTATTATACGCTATTTTGCATTTGTTTCTTAGTTTCACAGTGACGTGACCCAATTTTGAGGGCCCACTTTTGCTTCAAGTTAAATTGAAAAAAAAAATATATATAAAAAAAAAGGGCAAGAGTTTTTTTTTTCTTAAAAATAAAGTACTTTCATATTTAAAATATAACAAAATGAAAAATTTAAACTACTTTTTTTTTCTTCCTCTAAAAAGGTTTTGTTCGGTAATACGGATCGTGTCATCACCATATGGCATTTGCAAAATCCCGTTTTTGTTAACAGTTGACAAAACTTAGTTTTTCTTTTTAAGTACCCAGCACAATTACAATTGAAAAAAAAAGCAAAAAAAAAAATACAACAAGCTCATCATCGCATGAATTTCATGCTACTCTTTTTATTTATTGTTTCGCTAAAGATTACTTTTAAAAAATCTACGGTTACATCATAGAAATAAAAAAAAAAGAAGAGGAAAGTACAAGATCACCATCATCTACCATTTAAATTGTAGTCAAATTCAAATATTTTAATTCTTGCTCATCAAATGTTGATATAGATATTTTAATCTATATCACTTGAATGTAATCTTACTAAACGATTGACTCATAAACGGTGCAACAGTAGCTGCATTACAATTGGATGTCATGGAGACGAAGAGAAGAAATAGACAGAAAAAAAAAGATGGGAAATATTTCAACAGTCAGGTACCCGGAATGAAATTAAAAATAAATTAAAAAAATGGTTTAATTACACATTCTTATAAAATTTGTCGTTTCCTTCCAAACAAAACGCCTATACCTATGACGACACACATATATACAAACAACAATTTATCATCATCCACTTCTGTAGTGATTCATTTTTTTTTAAATTTCTTCTTAGTGATATTACATTGTCGACTCTATACTCAGAAGAAACAGGGGTAAAATGACCTTAAAAAGACCCTAGTTATAACGTCTTTCTTTCTTTCTTTTTTTTTTTTTTTTTGGAATCCTCCACTTTTATCATCATATCCACCAATAATGACTTCATTATAAATAAAACCAATATAAATAGCTGTAATTTTTAATATTAAATATTTACTTCTTTTCTTGCTTAATAACCATCGGGCCAAATAATAAAAAATGCATTATTAGACACGTTGTAGTAGAATCAAGCTTTTAATTAAAATGAATTGAATATAAATTAGCAAGCAATTTATTCTTAATTAATGATATATAGTTTGATTTTTCCACTAATGTTTTTGAATTTTTTTTATACAAATTCACTCATGAAAAATTTACAAAATTCTTTTAGGAAAGAACATTTTTTACACACTTTTAGCATTGTGAAAAAGCTATTAAACTATGGAAATCATTCTATATTGAATATAATAAATACTCTTTAAAAAAGGGATAATCTGAGCTTTCTGCTTTTAAAAAAAATCATCATTTTGGTACTCATTAAGAATTCGAAATAAGATACTCGAAGCTGATACTGGCCACTGCACTTTTATCACCATATTAAATGCAGTTGTTAAAGCCGTACCTTACATACAGTAGTAAAGATTGAATCATGAAACTTTGAATAGATATATGTTTCCTTCGCATTACTTATGATCAGCAAACCAAAACTTAGCCAAAATGAAAATTGAGAAATTGAGAAATTGAGAAATTGAGAAAAAAATTACTGAATAGATGGATTTTTATGAGTTAAAGCTATTCTAAAGCTGAACTAAAAGAAGATAGAATGTGAAAAAAAATTGAAAAAATTACCTTAAGATGCGTGCAGCTGTCACGACATTGATAATGATCTTGACTATATACATAAACATAACTACATAAAAGATAGAGCTTCAAACAAAGTGAAATCACAAATAAGCACTTTATTTGGTTTCTAAAAACTGTGACCGTCTCAGCTATATAAACAAATAATAAAAAACATGGCTACAACCACGATGCAATCAGTAAAGTGCAAAACTGCCAATTGGCACGTATTTTCTAAAATCGCTTTTATCCTGGCTACAAAAAAAAAAAATGAAATCCAAAAAAAAATTCTAATTTACCAACGAATATGAAAGCTGCAGTTATCCATGATTATTATTATTCTGGATAAAGAAACGAAGAAACCTGGCAATAATAAAAATAAAATTGTAATAATACAAAAACCATGACCTGTCTCTATAAATTTGCTTGAGAAAAAACTGCACATGGCTTGAAGACCTTTTGAAAATTTTTTAAAAAAAATGTAAAATTATTATTTTTAACTTTAATCGCTTAACAATTGCCCTATTTCAATCAACTTGATTCTGTAAATTAAAGATTTTACACAGTCAGCCATTATTACAGCCTTGTTATATTAAAATTTATGATTTAGCTCTCATAAAGAAAATTGATCACGTGAACATCCCAAAAAAATTTTTTTGTTCACCCCCAAAAAAAAAAACCTTCAATAAAAAGATTTTTTTTTTCCAGCCTATATTTACTTCAGCATCTATTTTGAAAAGTGTTCTAGGACTACTGGACTAAACACTTTATAAAATTTATTTATAACAATTTCAGATGTCCAGCTATAAAAGCAGGCCTTTACAACTTTCAGATGTTGACGGTGAAATAATCAGTCAACTTTCAAACCTCATCAAGGCTCTTCAAAAAAACAAGACAAACTATGAGCCTCTTCACACCTTCTTAACAAGACGATCTGATCAAGTTCTCCAAGTTTGGAGCAAACTGAGAGAAGTAAGTAAATAAGTTTTTTTTTATAAAGAAATTTATTTTAACACTCATTATAGGCAAGCGAACATAAACTCATTGCTGCCATTATTGGCGATATCAGTCAAACTATTTCACTTTGCAATGAATTTCCAGCACTCACACAACTCGGGTCCCATCTCATCACACAAGTCCTTGAAGACGAAGGCCGTATGGGTCTCATCTACAGATGTCTTTTCACCGGTAAAGGCACTCTAGCCATTCCTGCTCTTTCTTTTCTTGAAGCTGTCACCAAGTTTCGCCGTGGTATTTTGACAAATGATCTCTATTCCCACTTTGATTTGACTGCAAAGGCCATCCCTAGAATTCTTTCTCTTAAAGGCGATGTTACTGCTACCGTTATCCAACGCCGCGAGCTCCGTGAAAAATTCATTCGCTTTTATCTTGAATTCATTTCTAACAGTTCCATCATTGTCCGCCGCGACCTAGTAGCCCAGAAAAACGTCATTTCCGGCTGGTTCAAATACATGGAGGAAGACAGCGCAGACCTCATTCGCGATACCCTCGAGGTCTTTGAAAAAAAAATCATTCGTGATTCTGGGTTCAACAAACCTCTCCGCATGAACCTTTTTAACGACTGGGTAATGGGCCACATGGCAAACCTGTTGGGCCGCGACGACATTCCAACTGATGGCAAAGACAAAATTGGCACCTTAGTTTATGAATTTCTTCACTTCCTTGTCACGGATACCACTAACGGCCTTAAGCACGCAGATAAGCAATGGTACTTACCTGGTCCTGACGATTCTGACAAATCGGGCAACGACGATAAAATCAACAATAAGATTCTTTTTTCTTTCATCAAAGTTATCAAGCCTTGGGACAACCTGCTGCGCCAAAACTTGGCTTTAGAGATTCTTTCTACAAGTCCTGAACTTGTTGCGCCTTACTTTTCAGAGGATTGGACATTTACTCTCGACCCTAAAATCACAATGTTTTGGATCTCATCCATTCTGTTTCTTTCAAGAGCTATTCAGCTGCCCATTCCAGCACCATTAGTCGGTTCAGCTTCTTCCCAACCTCCCAGCGCCAAGATGATTGCCGAGCACATTTTCCCCAAGCCTTTGTCCAAGACTATTCTTACTAAATCGTTGCTCAGCCCTTCTCCTCTCATTAAATATGACGCTCTCCAGACTATCATTCTGGCATTCAACAAACTTCAGCTCTTTATCGACCTTTATAAAGCTAAAAACTGGAGCGACGGATACTATGAACTTCTTGAGGAGATTGGCAGCAGACTCCCCGAAGTTTCTACTCTCATCACATCTATCACCACAATTGAAGACGACAAGATTGACAATTATGCGCTTTTAAAATCAGCAATTCTTCGCACTATTGCATACTATGCCAAACTTCTTCCAGAGCTTTTCACCAAAAACAAGTTTGTTTTGCCTAGCAAGCTGATGTCTACATTAGAGAAGGAAAACCTTAGCGGCTTTGAGCTTGTTGACTTACAAAATGTTCTTGAGATCCAAACCCGACTTGGTGGCCTTGGAAAATGGTGGAACAAGTCTGGCGATCTTCAATACTCTCTTTTTACAGTGCTTTTGAGAATTTCTACTGTTTTACAGAGTGATCTCTTTACTTCCCAAATAGAGTCTCTGATACAATACCTTGTAAAACCAACACTTATATTCGACCAGGACAGCAAACTTGACGTCAGCCCCATTAGCGTTCTCGTGAACTCGCTTAACTCAGGAATCATATCAATGTCAGAGACCGAGCGTGTTAAAGTCTGGAAGCTGCTTGACGAATGTGTATCGCGATGTCAGCGCTCACCATACAAATACATTGACATGATTGCTTTATACCAAAAAACTGCAGGAGTCACTAATGCCAACATTAGCCCCTTTATTGCTGTCGTTATTGAACAGTGGAAATTCGTTGACAAAACTACCGAGTATAAGAATGCCGAGGCATGGCTTTTTAGATACCTTCGCGACTCTTGCATTGCTGGCAGTGATTTCGAAGCAATTAAAACACTTGTTTCTAAGGAAGATTTCGGGAAAACTTTTGAGAAAGAAATTTTATATGCTGGTAAGCCATACGAAACTGTCAAAATTTCTTGGGAGAAGTACTTTTCATCGAAAACTACTTTTGATTCCCTTCTTGTTTCCAGAGATTTGAAGGAGCTATCCAACAAAAAGATTTCCTCACGACTTGATATTTTTGCAGCCAAGTTCCGCATAAAGCATGACACAGACGAAGAAGTTCAAAAGGTTTTGCTTTCCAAGCTTACACATGATCTCAATAAAGACATGCGCAAGTTGCTTTTGGATAATGAAGTTTTTGTTGATATTTTATCTCACTCAAGCTTATGGATCAAGTTCTTCAAGCAGCTCAAGCAATGGAAGGCTGAACTTGAGGCTAAAGAGCTAGAGCCACTTGTCTCTTTCTTAAAGTCGGAACTTGTTTCGGCCAAATTCACAGCTTCCCAAAAACTTACTCTTTTTCAGGCATCTTCTTTCTTGCTCGATTCTGATTTTATCAAGCAGCAGATTGAAATTACTTCAGACAAGTCGTTACTTGAATTTCTGTATATTGATTATGTTCATAAAGTTTCTGAATCCCACTCTCTTGTTGAGAAAGAAATTATTTCAATAATGGATTACGCCATGTCTATCCATAGTGCTGGGATCCTTTCGGCTCTGCACATCTACATTCAAACTGCTGGGCCTTCATTTGCAGTTTCTCCCGCCCTTTTAGAACACATCCACAAATTCTGCAAAGATTCTGTCTTTTCTTCTTCCCGTGTTTTGCAAGTGATTATTCGTTGTGTTCCATCGACCGACTTATCTCATCTTCACTTATTTACTGATAGCAGCTTAGTTGATGACCTAACTTTTTTGTCTGTCCTTACTGAAATTACGACCGAAGAGGGTATTAGAAGCAGCACTGACAAGGAAGATCTATTAAAAATTTATTCTCATGGTCTCGATGTTTCCCTTGCGACTCTGGATTCACCCAAAAATGACTCTGTTTTGCTTGAATCATCTATCAAGTTTCTCAGCAAGGTCGTGGCAACCCCGGCTTTCCCAATCAATAGCGAAAAAATTGAAAAGGTTGCTGCGTTTGTTGCTACATATACTGGACCAGAAACTGTCTCTGCAAACATGATTGAGCTTGTGTCTAAGATTTCTTCTCGCATCACTGGTGCAAATAAAATAAATCTTGCTCAAGAACGACTTATGAAGCCTTTGAGAATCTGGGCCCAGCGAACAGTTACTTGGTTGGCAAAGAGACTTGCCGAAGATGCTGTGATTGGCCCGCGCACAATTGGTGTTCTTGAATCGTTTTACAAGGCCATTAACGATTATTCTCTTAACATTTGGCTTCTTGTTCCCACAGCTTCACTTAATACCATGCTTGAAATTGCTACTACCCGTTATCTTGAACGTATTGAAGTTTTACAATTTGTTGCTGCTGCTACACCAACTTCACGTATCTTGGCCTCTGCATATTCGACACAGCCCATGAATACTGGGGCTTCTTCTTCAGACAAGAAATATCTTCCAATTGAGTTCACCAAGCTTTTGCAAATTGTCCTGAATCACGACAGAGCACTTGCTGCAATGGAGCTTGGTCGTGACCATATCCACGCAAAAGGTACTGGCATTGCAATTGCATACATTGTTTCCATCCTTTTCAATATTGATGTTACTAGACATGCCACCCGTTCTATCCAGGAACGCGTTCTTGCTTTATGTATGGGTACTCAGCGTCCTCAAGATTTACTTTTGATTGAAATTCTTCGCAAAATAGAATCTCGTATTTCCTCCAGTTTCTGCGACCTGGTTTACGCTTGGGAAATCACAACTAGTTCTTCTCTCGCAAATTTTCTTGCCACCGAATCAGAAGAATCTGATGGTGATAACGCACTCGGTGGATCCAAAAAGAAGAGAAAGATGGAAGAGCTTGAAGATATACTTGTTGGTGGCGAGACTGAAACTGATGATCTCGAGGGTGTTACTCCCCTTTTCACTGTTGGCCGAAGTGGCTTTGAAGTTACCTTTGATGGTGGTTTGATTCAAAATTCAATTCGAAATTTTGATACCAGTGTTAAATTTGATAGCAGACATGACAAGAAAGAATCATACGGCCAATTTCTTCTCAAAATGAAACATTACTCTCGTTTGCTGCGCTCTGAGATGACTTATTCTACTGAGTTTTTCTTACTGCTTGTTACAAGTTCTAACCTCTTGACCCAGCATGAATCGTCTCTTATTGTGGAAAATTTACGTGCTTTTGTTGAATCCGGCGTTCTGGCTCTTGTATTGTGCTCCCTTTCTCATACCGATGAACACATCAACAAACTGGCCCTTTCCCTTTTGGTGGCCACTGCAAACGGTGCTTCTCCGGAAATGGGTGGTGGTTTTAATGGTAGCTACCAAGACCGCGAGCTCGTGACACTGATTGCAAACAAAATCTTTTCGTACATCACGACTTCTGAAAAGAAAAAATTGGCCGATGAGCTTGCTTCAAGTGTAGTTGTTGGTGCTAAAAAGTCTACAGCTTCTACTTCCCTTGTCCCTGCATACCTTTCAGTTCCATTAGCACTTATCCTTACTGGTATCATTCCATCACCAGAACACTTACTTTATGATAAGGCTGTACAGGCCTTCATTTTACATGCACCATCACTGTCTGCTGGCGAAGTACCTTTATTTTATGCCATTGCGCGTGCAACAACTACCGGTGAACACTATGGTGACTCGCTTCTGCGAGAACTCATCTGGTACGTCGATACATTGACCTGCGCACTTGTTGATCCCGAGACTCTGACTGTGTATGTCCGCCGCGGTATTTTTGAGTGGACATTAAATTTGGCTGCGACACTTCCTATCCCACAATCTGCTATTGTTTCAGCCACTGGTGGCATTGATAGAAACACCGACAGTGAGGCTGTGCATGCTGTTTATTCGTCCAAGATGTATCTCCGTGCCTATAATACTCTTGTGCACCGTAAAATTGTTGCTTTGGTGAAACGTGCACAGGAGATTTCTGGTGGCAGCTCTGTTCTTGCAATCAAGAATGGCTTACTGGGCTGGATTCAAAACGCCATTGCAATGAATGGCCTCATTTCAAAAGACTTTAATGCTACTAGTGAAGATACCAAGAAGTTTTCTGCGCTCACTCAAGGGTTAAACAGCAGTCAGATTAAACAACAAAAGGAAAACATGGAGGAAGCACACCGATACGTTTTGTCACTAGAAAAGTTGGGTGTACGTGAATGGGTAACATTTCCAACACCAGGCGAGTTAGGTCGTTCAAGCTGGACGCTTTCTAAGGAGATGCCATTAAAATATAGTTTTTAAACCTTTAATTAATAGAGATAGAATTCAAAATAAATATCAATATAAAAAAATTAATTGAACATAATTACAAAATAGTTAATTTAGTACTAAAGCAAGAAGAAATTCAAAAAAAAACAACACTACGATGTTGACAGGACTCGAACCTGCAACCTTTGGAAATTTTATCTAACCGAAATCCAATGCGCTCACCATTGCGCCACAACACCAGCTATAAAAATTTATCCTTTTTGTAATAAAATCGAATCTGAGCTAAAAAGGTGTATTACTGTATTAATTTGATTCAAATCTAAAGGGGAAAGGGCTGGATGGTGTAAAGGATAACACGTTCGCTCGATAGCGGAAGATACTGGGTTCGATTCCCAGAATACCCCCTTTTCCTGAGGATGTGTACGGGAGTATACACCTAGACTGAAAACCATAGGCTACCCTGGTTACAGGAATGCCGACTCTTCCGTACAGTCTAAATAGCCTGCAGGTGATTGCGGGCCGTATCTCTGACGGAAGAGATTAAGAAATACATGGGCGTCCGTGAAGATAAGTGGAAATGGGTTGGGAAGGTTTTGGGACCGACAGACTGGTTCTCCCTGTTCCTCGTAAGCTGGCATCAGGGCCCATCTTCCGGGCTACCGGAGACGCACAGAACAGAAACCACCAGTACTAAAAAGGTACAAATGAAAACCGGCAAGTCACATAGTCAGACAATAAAAGGATAGCGCAGATGCTGATGTTATATAGTTCTATAACCCTTGAATAAAAACAAACAAACAAACAAACGATTCAAATCTAGATGGCTTAGAAATTTGGCATCACAAAATTTTGAAAGGAGAAATCCACAAGTTGGAAGTAATGCAGAATATGGCTTTAAGAAGAATTGTTGGTGCTTATCGCACAACTCCTATTGCGGTACTACAAAAGGAAGCTGGTATTATGCCATATAGTATTAGGCTAAAATTTATGGTGGCACGAAAAGCTATTCGTTTACACCTAAATATTAGCAAAACTAATCCTATTAATGGTCATTTGTTAACATTGATTGAGAAATCTCCAATTGCAAAGCTAACCACGCTTTACATGTTGGCGAAAGATGATAGAGACTATATGATTAAAAAGGATGAAAAACGAAAATGCAAGAGGGTTGAACCTCTTACACTGAAACAACAACAAAATCAGACGATTGGAATTTTGAAAAAACAAGCAATGGAAGAATGGCAAGAAATGTATTGGAACAGCAGTAAGGATCTGTGGTATCATAATATCACAGTGGAGTCGAAATGTACTGATAATCTTTCCAAAATGGTTACGGGAGTGATCATGAAGAAAGATAGTCGAAGGATCTTGAGTAATATTACTCAGTTTCGCACAGGCCATGGCAACTTTGGCGCATGGTTTAAAAAGTTTGGAATTGAAAAGGATAGTTACAACTGTAAATGTGGAGAGCTGGAAACAGTTCATCACATTTTAGTTGAGTGTCCTTTGCTTGAAGAGGAAAGAAAAGGACTGAAACGGATATCTCCAGAGATGGACATGTCGACTCTCTTAAACAGTTTAACTGGCTTACAAGAGATTGTAAGCTTTATCTCTGCTTGGAGGGATTAAGAAATACAATTACAGCGTTGATGAAGACAAGTGGAGATAGGTTGGGAAGGTTTGGTTATTTTAACCCCCTGTTCCTCGTAAGCTGGCATCAGGACTTATTTTCGGGCTGTTGGAGATGCAATGTTGAAGCCAAAATTAAAAGTTTATTATCAAAATGAAAAAATATATAGTATGGACAAGAAGGATAGCGCAGATGCTGATGTTATATAATTCTATAACCCTTGAATAAAAACAAACAAACAAACAAACGATTCAAATCTAGAGTAAAAACGGGGATGAAGTTTTTACTTCGGTGAAGAGATTGAATATTAAGAATGCAGATTGGGAAAAGTTTGACAAGGAGCTTTCTTCTGCCATTAAAGATTTTAATGTGCATAACAAAACTCTAAAATCAACTGACCAAATTGATGACCAAGCTAAAGTTCTTGAGGAGGTTGTAAAAAGAGCAATGGCAAAGTCGATGAAGGAAGTTAAGGTGATGAAAAAGTCCAAACGCTATTGGAATCAAGAATTAAGGGAGAAGTTAGAAAAAGCGCTAGAAGCTAAAAGGGAAGCCCGTCAAAGACAACCTTCTTTGGCTTTGAAACGACAAAAAATTGAAGAGGCGAAAAAAGCTAGAAAAATTTTTGACCACAGTTTGCGTGAGGCAAGTACTGAGCAATGGAATAAATATTTGTCTAGTTTAGAAGGAAATGACATTTGGAAGATTTTGAAGTATATTAATCCAAAAAGCAATGATACCATTATACCACAAATTAGAAAAGAAGATGGAACTCTCACTACTACTGTTGACGAAAAAAGACATGAAATATGGAAGGCACTTCTACCTGAAATTGATCATGGTCTTGATAGAGAGTTTGAAATTGATAACGATTCTCGATGGCCAAAATTAGAGTTTGATGAAGTTGACTCTGCATTGGCTGATACCCCAAATGATAAAGCTCCAGGAGACGATGGAATTACTGGCAAAGTTTTAAAGATGGCATGGCTAAATAAAGACTTTAAGGAAAGGTTTTTCAAGCTTCTCCAAGCTTGTGTAAAGTTTGGATACCACCCAAAAGTCTGGAGACATGGCATTATTGTTGTTATACCTAAACCTAAGAAACCTGACTATTCAAAGCCAAGAGCATACCGACCAATTTCCTTACTTAAGATTCCATCTAAAGTACTGGAAAAATTATACAAAAAGAATGACCAAACTTACAACACACTTACTTCCACCAGAGCAATATGGGGAAGACAAGGTTATTGTGCTACTGATGCTGTTTTGGAACTTGTCCAAAGAATTGAAACTAGTAAAGAAAAATTTCAGCTATGCTCATTGATATTCAAGGAGCTTTTGATAATGTTAACAGAAATATATTGGCACACACAATGGAGGATATGAAACTACCCAAAGCACTTATAAACTGGACGTACCAATTTGTAAGTGAAAGAGAAGCTAGTATGCTCATGGACCGAAGAAAAGGATCAGTGCAAAAAATTAGTACTGGAATTCCGCAAGGCTCACCTATTTCACCACTACTTTTTTTGATATATTCCACACCAATGTATCATGCCATTAAAGAATGGGGTGGAACTCCTTTTGGCTTCATTGATGATGTGACTATTACCGTTGAAGGTAAAATTGAAGAAAATACCAAAAGCTTAAGCAACATATTAGAAAAATGTTGTAATTGGGCTAAATCAAGAATGACCAAAATTGATTTGGGTGATAAATTGGGTTTTATTCATTTTACAAAAAATGTGAAACCTAAAGATGAAAAAGTGCAACTTACTTTACCTAATGGAGAACTTCGTGAACCCCAGAAGGAAGTTAAATTGCTTGGAATTACTTTGAACAATCTGCTTGATTTTAAATCTCATATTTTGAATAAAATCAATAAAGCAAGAAAAGCTGTTGGCGCTATTTGGCATCTTGGAGGCGTGCAAAAAGGTATGCGAGGGTCTGCAGTCAGATCACTGTATATTGCTTGCGTGAGACCAATTGTTGAATATGGCTTAGAAATTTGGCATCATAAAATCTTGAAAGGAGAAATCCACAAGTTGGAAGTAATGCAGAACATGGCTTTAAGAAGAATTGTTGGTGCTTATCGCACAACTCCTATTGCGGTATTACAAAAGGAAGCTGGTATAATGCCATATAGTATTAGGCTAAAATTTATGGTGGCACGAAAAGCTATTCGTTTACACCTAAATATTAGCAAAACTAATCCTATTAATGGTCATTTGTTAACATTGATTGAGAAATCTCCATTGCAAAGCTAACCACGCTTTACATGTTGGCGAAAGATGATAGAGACTATATGATTAAAAAGGATGAAAAACGAAAATGCAAGAGGGTTGAACCTCTTACACTGAAACAACAACAAAATCAGACGATTGGAATTTTGAAGAAACAAGCAATGGAAGAATGGCAAGAAATGTATTGGAACAGCAGTAAGGATCTGTGGTATCATAATATCACAGTGGAGTCGAAATGTACTGATAATCTTTCCAAAATGGTTACGGGAGTGATCATGAAGAAAGATAGTCGAAGGATCTTGAGTAATATTACTCAATTTCGCACAGGCCATGGAAACTTTGGCGCATGGTTTAAAAAGTTTGGAATTGAAAAGGATAGTTACAACTGCAAATGTGGAGAGCTGGAAACAGTTCATCACATTTTAGTTGAGTGTCCTTTGCTTGAAGAGGAAAGAAAAGGACTGAAACGGATATCTCCAGAGATGGACATGTCGACTCTCTTAAACAGTTTAACTGGCTTACAAGAGATTGTAAGCTTTATCTCTGCTTGGAGGGATTAAGAAATACAATTACAGCGTTGATGAAGACAAGTGGAGATAGGTTGGGAAGGTTTGGTTATTTTAACCCCCTGTTCCTCGTAAGCTGGCATCAGGACTTATTTTCGGGCTGTTGGAGATGCAATGTTGAAGCCAAAATTAAAAGTTTATTATTAAAATGAAAAAATATATAGTATGGACAAGAAGGATAGCGCAGATGCTGATGTTATATAATTCTATAACCCTTGAATAAAAACAAACAAACAAACAAGATTCAAATCTAGGGGAAAGGGCTGGATGGTGTAAAGGGTAACACGTTCGCTCGATAGCGGAAGATACTGGGTTCGATTCCCAGAATACCCCCTTTTCCTGAGGATGTGTACGGGAGTATACACCTAAACTTAAAACCATAGGCTACCCTGGTTACAGGAATGCCGACTCTTCCGTACAGTCTAAATAGCCTGCAGGTGATTGCGGACCGTATCTCTGACGGAAGAGATTAAGAAATACATGGGCGTCCGTGAAGATAAGTGGAAATGGGTTGGGAAGGTTTTGGGACCGACAGACTGGTTCCCCCTGTTCCTCGTAAGCTGGCATCAGGGCCCATCTTCCGGGCTACCGGAGACGCACAGAACAGAAACCACCCGTACTAAAAAGGTACAAATGAAAACCGGCAAGTCACATAGTCAGACAATAAAAGGATAGCGCAGATGCTGATGTTATATAGTTCTATAACCCTTGAATAAAAACAAACAAACAAACAAACAATAATTGTTATAAAACAAAAAACTGGCTTACAAGAGATTGTAAGCTTTATCTCTGCTTGGAGGGATTAAGAAATACAAATACAGCGTTGATGAAGACAAGTGGAGATAAGTTGGGAAGGTTTGGTTGTTTATAATTAAATTATTTATCAGGACCCACTTTCGGAACTAAAAAGCAGAAAAGCAAAACTTGTAAATTTCACAATGTGATGTAATTAACAAAATTATCGGTTAATTTTTGTATTCTTTGTACTAAAAAGCACCTCCAATTTCTTGATATTTAAAATCAATTATTAATTAGTAAGATTCCATTTCAAACAAAAAATTATATTTTTTCGTATTTTATTGAAACTGAATTTACAAAAAAGTTCCTCTTTATGCTTGTTACTCAGAAGAGATTTAAGCATACTAATATCCCCACACTACTAGTGTAAAAGCTATTACCCGCCTTAAAAAAACTTGATCTTATAATAAATGCCAATATATCGGCTTTTTGTTTTAAAATTTGTTGATTTCTTTCATTAAATGATGAATTTATAAAAATTGAAGAGCTTTTTAAAATCTTGAACCAATTACCGTTTATTAATGAATGAGCTAGTAAATGTTGTTGCACCCGGAAAGAAACTCTGGATAATTCAAATAACTGTCTGATTTCTTAGTTTTAAAAAATTTAATTGGGATGATTATCTAACTAGAAATTGGAATATTTTTTTTCCATATGAGATTCTATTGTTAGCACACTTGGTGTATTAATCTTGGAATTGAACTTCGCTTAACCACATGAATTTTATTATATAAAGTTTATAAATTTTTACAAAATTTAACATCAAAATATGGTATCATATTGAATATTATTTTAAACCGAATATCAACTGAACTATTCTTGACATGCTTTAAACCACTATAAGGTGATTTAAATACCTAGCATACTTACTACATTTTTTAGTGTTACCCGGTTCAATTAATAGTTAACTATCGATTGTAAATAAAGTAATTTGAAAAACTATTTAAAAGCTGGCACTTAGTTAAGTGCTATAGTGCACTAAGTGTTTTCAGTCTAGTATTTCCTGCAATAATAAGAGAATTTTGAAATAGTACAAACCTGATTCCATATTTTAAGCTATTGTCTATGTATAGACTCAATGCACTGTAAAAATTATAATATATTATTTGGAGTTCAATGTTGTCTGTAGTTCAAAATAAACCGCCTCAACTAACTTGCTTAATTGTCATTTTATTTATATTGAAAGTGGAAAAGTTAGTTACTAACTTTATTTAAGATATTAATAACAATTCATATATATATATATATATATTTTGGATTGGTCAATGATTAGAAATTCAAACGCTAGAAAGATATTACGCAAATATGCTTATTAAAAGAAAATATCCTCTTCATAGATAATTCGAGGATTAGTAACTGGAATAACCATCACTTAAAATACTTCTTAGATTAAAAACTAAACATTAAGGTAACTTCTAGTGAAGTATATCAATCCAAAGCCTTGAGGTGTCATATCTAGGCATCCAGAAATTTGGTATAATTTTATAACAGAATTATATTCAAATTAAAAAAAAAAAAAAAAAAAAAAAGTCTAACGTTTGTCATTCAAGAAATAGTGTTTTTTTTTAATTTTCACGAGAAAAACTGAGATGTGGTATAACAAAAAAAAAACGGAGTCATCTTAATAGACTTTAGTTTAAAGTATCCAAAAAAAAAAAAAAAAAAATTAAAGCACAAAAGGTTCAATCCAAGTGTTAGCCAAGTGAAAAGGTCTAGAAGCTGATGTTGATAACAAACCATTCGCTTCTGCGTCCAAAACACCTTGGTAAAGGACCTTCCACAAAACGAAAGCAACAGAAAGATCTCCTTCAACATCGACTGCCTGCTTAAACATGCCACGAAGATCGTCAAGTGTGGCAACCTTGACAAAAGGTCCAGATGTAGAATTAACTGTTGCAGTGCTAGTCGAGCTGTCGCTAGTATTTGGCTTCTCGTCAGCAGCTTTTGTTGTAGAAGCAGTAGCTGCAGTGGTGGTAGTAGAACCAGTGGCTCTATCAAGGTAAAGTTTCATGGCAACACCAGCTCCACAATTGGGAGCAAGAGAAAATGGCAAATAAGAACTAATGCTACCCCAAACTTTTGTGGAAGGCTCAGTGTTTCCATCTTCAGCAGGATACTTTGCACTGGTCAACTTAAATCTATCAACTTCACCAGTCGCAAGAATTGCAACAAGTGCGGCTTCTACAAGCTGGCGGTAAGCAGAGTATTCGCGAGTTATTGTTGAATTAAAAGCCAAAATTGTGCGAGACAACGGTCCAGCAAAACCGACAGGATTATGTCTAAGTGAAACAAAAGAAGCAACTCTGCTCAAAAGTAACACGTGTGCTTGGATATCGGCAGGAGCATGACTATCAGGTCCGCCGGTGTACTCAGGTTCGGTTTTAGTTGCATTCAGAAATCCGTCTCGAATCAGCAATAGAGCTAATGTGAGAGGCTCAGCAAGAGACTGAGCATGATCTTTAAACCGTTCATTTGTTTCTAAAAGATTCAAAGTTTTGGCAATAACCTTACCCCAAGGAGTCAGGTTATGTTCATTGTTGAAAAGGCCGATTGCCTGTAAAACTCGCCATATACTATTGGAAACAAGCTCTTCAACTGTCGAATACACAGGTGGAACTGGAGAAGGATATGTAGTAACTGGTGGGGCACCAGTAGAAGGAGCAGGCGATGCAGTAGTAGCAGGCGCTGTTGTAGGCGTACCCGAAGCTGGAGAAGCAGTTGAGGAAGGCAAAGGTGGGGTAGAGACAGGTGTGATTGAAGGAACGTATTTTTTTTTAAAGACAGTTGCAGTAATAAAAGCTTGAAGTTCTTCCTCAGAATCGTCATCAATCAAAAAAAAGGGGCAGATTAGCTTGGCTAACTGTGACTTATACTTCAAAGTTTTTTGAGAAGCATATTTTCCCTCAGTGATTTCCCTAGTAACTTTCCAGCCTTGGGTTTGATGAAGTAAAGACGTGGGTATTTTACGAACAACTTGGTCTTGAGATAAATCATACCAAACAACATTTTTGATTGGTCTATGTTGAAAATAACGGTGAAGAATTTGAGCCAAGAAATTAATAGACTTGCTTTGAACCTCATTGTGAATATTCGTTACAAATTTGCGATATGAAAGCTGACGCCCACCGTCTAGTGGAGCAGGCTCAAAGAGGTACCCAGAAGTCAAAGCATTAAGAATCTCAGGTCCAACAAGCCCCTTTGACAAGTAAAAGTAAATTTCATCAGGCAGACGTTGACCAACAAACTCATGAATATCACTGGGCCATTCATCTTCAGAAGGAATAGGCTCGACTTTTCCATTTTCTTTTAAAACAGGCTGGTAAAGTATTGTTGCATATGCTTTTTGAAACTTAATGACATACTTTTCTTTGTTTGCAGAAAGAGCAGCTTCTTGTTGATCAGAGTAAGCAGCTATAGTAGGGAAGATAGAGATTGGGCCAGTACTAACATAATCAAGTGCCAGCTTAAATGGAGCCGAGGCAGCGTAAAGACCAGCGGCAACAGCAGAGCCAGCGGATGCAATGGCAGCAGATGCAGCAGCTGGGCCACCAGGAACACTAGAAAGGAGTTGCTGGCTAATGGGAGGGTATAAAAGATTGGAGTATGGTGCAAAGCCAACAGAGCCAGAAATGATGCAAGCCTCGACAAACTGTTCATGGGAAATTCCAAGGTCATAAATAAACATACGCTTAGAAATCCAGGAAAAGTTTCCATGGCCCCCATTCCCGCGGGAATCGATATTGGTAATAAGGCGATCTGTTTGAGCATAAAGCATCACATCGTAAGAGCCGTAGATTGCATCAATATAACCCTCGGATTGAAAGTAAATAAGTTGTGCAGATGCAGTGTAAGGAGCAACAACAAATTCAACAGAAGGCTCTCGCTGGTTAAAAAAGTTGAAAAGAGTTCTAACACCGAATTGTTTTTTAGCGTCAAAACAGAGGTCAGTGACTTGCTCAAAATCTCGAACAGCTTGTTCGGCTTGGCCTTTTTCGTAGTCATCCCAGGCTTGGTTTCGTTTATGTAAAGTAGAAGAAATTTCGGAGACAATGCTATTACTGGAAGAAGCAAATGGTGTGTATGTTGTTTCGCGTTTGGAGCTGTCAGTAGTAACTGGTCGCTGAGAGTTGACCGACAAACCATCAAAAACAAAAAGCGGTGTAATTCCATTGGCTTGAAAAGCAGCTAAGTCTGCTGCCACATGGTCTAAAAGACTAAAGGGAACGCCACCTAATGCCTGTACCAGAGGCTCTGAATTACTTCGGACAATTGAATCAATGTAGTTGTTGGCATAGATACCTATTTTGCTGCCTTTGAGGGTAGAGAGATTAAGAGTGCGTACAATTCTGCGCTCAGTTATCCAAGCATCCAAAGGTCGAAGAGCTGATAAAAAAAATTATTAGGTAAACATGTATTTTAAAGAATCCTCAGGCCTACTTACTCATTATAACAAGCTAAGTTGAAATGTGAAGGTTGAGTGCTAGGTATATTGTTATATTTTGTGATGAAAGAAATAGGTGGGAGTGAACAAAAAGTGCTTGTAAAAAAAAAAAGATGACACGGCCACAAATCATTGTTACAAAACAAACTCACATAATTATTAAGTCACGTGATAAATTATATTTTTATAAATCTAGTTTCACTCTGTCTTGTTCTTGTCAGCTTTTCTGCGCAACCATCGTTCATTAACCACCTCAGGAGGCTCAAGGGTTTCGCGCTTTGAAAGTAGGACATACTTGGTTAAGTTCTTACCCTTACCATCTCCCAAATTAACAACGATTCTGTGTGATTCATGATTACTTGGCGCTCCATAAGAGGGGTGGGCCGAGTTTTGGATCATTTCACGCATTACAGAAGCCATTGTGAGTTTCATCCATGTGGAGTGCCACATAAAATATAACCTATCTTGGAGCCGCTGTAATGAATCTTCATTTTTGAAAGATTTCCATGGCATTTCCGGGAACCCGCAATCGTAAAGAACTAATGGAATGTCCGCGGCCATTTCGTAAGCTGGACGCCGGGGGGTGTTTTCCACATCCAAGAGAGTTTGAATCACTTCGGGAGCCTCTAGCTCTTGGCCCACAAGAAATAGGATGGCGACCATAGAGCGGACTTGATGCCAAAGAAACGCGGTGCCCTTCAGATCGAAACAATAGAGAGAATTGTCGTCGTCACACTGGCTAACCTTAACGATAGAAGCTGATAAGATTTCGCGCTTAAAGTTTGAAATTTGCTTTGATCCATCTACTTTGCAAAAATTTCTAAAATCGTGTACCCCCTCAAAGCTTTTTGCAGCAGCAAGCATTTTTGATAAATTAAGTTTATTGTTATTGTGGAAAAAGTACTTGTAATGTCGATAAAGACAGGAAAATCTTGCATCAAACCCCTCTGGTGGTTGCAGGCAAATCTCGTATAGTCGAATATCATCTGGTAAAAGTTGGTTGAGAATATGCAGATAATCTATTTCCTTATTATCATTGGCAGAATCCGTTTGTTGCTCAGGTGTTAATAGAGACCGGACTCTTAATGAAATGACTTGTCGAAGAGCTGACACGCCTTTGTCTGTTCGGCCACAGCGCGAAAATTCACAATCATTTGGGTCTATAGAAGGAATAAGTTTAGTTTTGTGTAAAGCTGCCAGAATGTGGCCCTCAACAGTGGGCACATCAGTATTGATTTGGACTGCCAGACCATTGTAATTCCAACCAAGATAGGCAAAACGAATGGCAATTCTGCGTGTTGAAAATTTAGAGTAGTCAAAAGATTTTTTTTTCTTTGTGACTGTAGCCTCAATGACTTCATTGGTATCTTTGGAGTTTGGAGTTTGAATGGCAGGAATAGACACTGACTGAGGTGGCCCTGCCAAGTTGTTTGCAACTTCTAGTTGTTGGATACGAGCTATCAATTGATCTTTAGACCATGATTCATAAAAAGAAGACATTTTTCTGAGTAAAGAGAATTTAAATAAATTTAATGGATATTTAATATAGCATCGAGATAAACTACGATGACTTATTCTTAACATGGGTACATCTATAAACTTTGATTTGATTTTTTTTAACAATATTTTAAAAGCCCCATTTGAAATTTTTTTCATCTCAAAATGCAATATGTTACAATCCTTTGTAACAAAATGCCATTTTTCTAGAAAAGTGTAACTAGATAATTAGAGGGGTAAATATGTTGTTACAAGTATCAATATTTCAAAATGAAATTGGATTCCGGATTTTTTAAATTTTAAATAATTTGACAAAGAAAATGATATAATCAAAAATTATGTGTCTGTGTTTTTTTAGAAAAAAAAACTAAAGAAAACCTAGAAGATAAGGAAAAAATTATTGGTGATATTTTCGAGTTCATTTTCCAGCCCCAAACCACCTAGATCAAGTTTAAGAAATTTCAATATTCCGATGGTCCGGGTAGAATCTTATCTGAACCCTTGTTGGCAAGAAATCTAATTTTCAAATTTCTGATAAAAAATCACTGCTCTTCATTATAAGTCGGAAAAAGTAACTGAATTAATTGAATTCCCTTTTTTTATGTAATTTGGATATAATTCAATCATTGAAAGCATGCTTCAGTCACTTCTATTTGGAGCCAAGCTCGGATATCCATAGCCCATGTTTAAAGCGACTCCTAATAGTGCTGGAGAAATATTTTTACCACGTAAATTTTGCTTTCGTATCAGCCTTTGATCAATGGTAATTACCAGTATGTATGTTTGAAGGCTTTCTACAAGAAAGCATGAGTTTTTTTTTTCATAATGGAAAAATGTAGGTGTCAGTTAAAAACTGTTTCGTCCCGTTTTAGTATGGATAATCCATGAAATGAAAAAAAAAAAAAAAAAAAAAAAAAGCATGCAACCGAAGAAAATTTCAGCTAATATTTAGTTTGGTTGATATGAAATGAAATGACTAGGAAAATGGAAGTATATTAGTCTATCTATGCCAGGAGGGACTGGATCAGAGATGAAGTTTTTGAAAAAAAAAAGTCCGATTTAAAAATATTTCCTGATATCATTTTCTATCCCAAGGTCAAAAGCAATGTTTAACTCGAGAAGATTCACAACCTCAAAAAGAAATTATGGATAAAAGTACCTAGTAATAAAGGCTTGTTGTTAAAGTTGCAAATATTTGAAATATCACTTTTCTAATTTTTCGAGGATATTTATTCCTGATGGTTAATAATGTCCCAAATAAAAATTTGCCACAACGGTTTCGCCAAAAGATTTAAAGTTAAATAGCATAATCATAAACCTATGAATAAACACTTGCTTTAAAAAAAGAAAAAAAATGGATGCGACGATATATATTTTGGGGGGACATGTATTATTTATAGTATAAAATATTTTAATTTCCCTTTATTGCTACCACCGAAAAAGCTCCTCTCACCAAAATCCCTCTTCCTTTTATCCATTTTCAATATTACCATTTTTTATTTACCATCTCCATTTTTTTATTTAAAGATAATCATTTCCATATTTATATATATATATATTCAAATAAATTTTAAAGGGCCACGTTCTTTTATACATCTTTCTTATCTTGATTAGTCAGATACACCCAAGAATAATGAAAAAATGGTTCTCACACTAGAGGGCCTACCAACAGACGTTCATCATGAAATCACTCAGTTCATCTCATCTTTGGACTGCAAGCGCTTAAGCCACTGTTGTTCAAAACTTCAAACATTTTATCGAGCGGAATCCTGGCGCTGCTGTAAAGTGGTTTCAGGAAAAACAGACTACGGAGAACATGCACAGGTACGAAATATTCCGCTAGCGGTCTTATTACGACCCAACAGGTATAGCTGGTTTTTTAATCACAGCGTTCGCGAAATATATATGACGGGAATTCTCTCATTTGAAGATAACTCTATTCAGGAACTTTTTGAATCGTCATTTGACCGAATAGCTTTTTCAGCAGTACAAAAGATCTACCTCTTATATCACCCTTTTTTTCACATTAATAATAACCTTTTTAATTCCACATTCTACAACTCGATATTATCCTTTCCAGATTCTATAGAAGGAGAGTCATTTCTAAACATTAACTTAGTTGTTAAACAGTATAGCGATCAGTTTATAAGTGAATCTCTTTACCCGCTTAGAAAATACTTTCGGATTTCTCATGACGGAGAGTTCCGTTTTCCCAGCCTGCATTACCATATGGATTATTTTGCAAACTTGACAAATATTTCTGTATGTCATGTCGATCGCCATAACTTTTCCCAAATTATGAGATCCTTGTCTTTAGCACCATGCTTAACATCACTATCTGTCAAATTTCACGTTTGGATGAAGGGAAATACATTAATGCTTGAACAAACTATATTCGACTTTTCTACTTTTCAGTTTCCTCGCCTAAAGACCTGCCATATAAGATTTAACACTATAGTGACACAGTTGGAGGTCCCATTCGAATATTATGAAGTTCCCCTTCCCTCTAAAGAACTATATTTTATGCCAAACACATCACAAATTCCTATTAAGCCATTGGTTTGGATCCCTTTTATCACACATATGAGCATAAAATCAACTGTGGGATTCCAAGTATTTAATCACTTGTTTGATTATGTTAGAATACCTAATACAACTTTTGTTAGTGTCGCACTTAAAGTTCAGTGGGAAGCCAGCTTGATGAATAAGATCTGTTTCGCCGAGAACCTGACAATGCTGGAATTGTCCATTCGAGATGCCTTTTTGCCCACTTACGACCCGAAATTTGTTGGCTGTGTGATGTTCATGGCTAAACTCAAAAGACTTACCATAAATGACAGACAATCATGTGGTTACGTCTTTCGTAACGATGAATACACTTGCGACTCGATTCTAAATCCACTCTTTAGAGAAGTACGTGAACATATGCGTCCGTTTTTTCATCTTGCACCAGAATATCGACCACAACTTTTTGATGAAGACCTAATAAATTTGGCTAATTATTTTTATGAAAAGTTTGGTACTTCTTCTGAAATAAAAACTTTGGACGGTTCTATTGATTCAGGTACATTTAGACACGTTCTGAACGATAATATTATCAACCTTGTTAAGAATCCGCTTAAGGTTCTGGACACTGTTGGTAACTACAATGTTAAAGATGGAGTTATCAAGAGATTTTGTGATATTTGCATTTACGAGTCTTTATTTTATTCTCTTCAGTCTGTAAAGACTTTGGAATACTTTGCAATAAAACCCAATAGCCGGTTTTATTTATCACCGCGTTTAGAATTGTTGCTGGCAACACATAAGACACTCAAACAAGTGATGCTGTACACCCCTCTTAATCCGTTTAATATGCCCACCTTAAAGCATCCGGATGAAAAACACAACCTGAATGTGTGTAAGCATTACCACATTGGGAATGAATATGATGAATATGATGAATATGATGAATATGATGAATATGATGACACTGAAGATAATGATTACAGCATTATTCCACAAATTCCCAACAAATACACGTCGATTGAGTTAGTTTCCGGCTTGTTTTACGGTTTGGTCGTTGCTGTTGTTTTTGATATTAAAATACAGCGTAAGTTTGAACCAAAATTAATGGAGAGGAGTATGAATGCTATGCTTAACTCCACGGACCCATTTTACCAGTTTGACCAACGGCTTGGTGATATTGACATGTACGCCGACAATTTTGATGGGTGGATTTAGAATTATGTTGTGGTACAACCTTTACCTTTTTTTTTTTTTTTTTACTTTTTCCTCTTTTTTTTTTAAAGAATACTACTTTTTAAGGATGAAATAGATTTTTGAAAAGAGTGTGTGAATCAATCTAATATGAATGACTTTACATATTAGATTTATTTTTTCTTTGTAATAAACACCAGCAAACCCCCACATTTCATAAAAACCGAGGATGGTTTAGAAAGAATAAATAGCAGCCAGGATCCCCTCCTTTGGATTTTTTCTTTCTCCTCAATCATCAATCATCAATCATCATACAAAGCTTTCTATTATCATCACTTTTCAAAATGAAGCCAGCTACAGCAACAACAGGGTTTTTTCAAGAAAGGCCTACCCTTCGTAATCAATTTACTACGGATTCTAACATCTTACGCGCCTTGGACTGTAAGTGAAATTCAAAAATATAGAGTCTCTGTTTTGGATCTGACTAGTGATAGACTTTTTGCCAAAAGCCGTGCTGGAACATGCAACACAAGAGCTGGTCCCATTTGGTGACAAAATTATTACACCAGAAGTTTTTGAGTGGATGGAGGATGCTGAAACAAATCTGCCCTATATCGAGCAACAAGACTTGTGGGGTCACCCACGTAACAAGCTCATCACAAGTGAAGGCTGGCGACGGCTTAAGGAATTTGGCGTGCGTGAGGGCCTACTTGCTACGTTTTACGATGGAGAGTACCCGCGCGAGTTTGCACGCATTGTCGGTTTCGCCAAACACTACCTGTTTTCGCCATCCTCAGCCATGGTAACTTGTCCGTTTGCCATGACGGACGGTTGTGCTCGTGTATGTCAGCTTATGGGCCCGTTTGAAGCGTCTGGTGACGAGTACTATAAGAGATTGTCTAGTCGAGACCCGGAATATTCATGGACATCCGGTCAGTGGATGACGGAACGACCTGGTGGATCAGACGTGTCTAATACAGAGACAGTTGCCGAGACTGATACACAGTCCGGGTCTAAACAGTACAAATTGAGCGGGTTTAAGTGGTTTTCAAGTGCAACCGACTCGCAGGTGACTATCACGCTTGCACGCATTGGTGACGACAAGCGCTTGAGTTGCTTTTTAGTTCCTGTGACTGAGAATGTGCGCTCCGGAAAAATTGTCATGAACAGACTCAAGCGCAAATTTGGAACCAAGGCATTACCGACAGCAGAGCTTGAACTACGTGAAGTGAACGGTGAGCTGATTGGAGATCGTGGACGTGGAGTTGTAGCCATTGCTAATGTGCTCAACATTACACGTGTATACAGCGCTGTTGGATCAACTGGCAACATGGCACGAGCGTTGAGCATCGCACGTGAGTACTCTAGAGTGCGCAAGGTGTTTGGTCGAAAACTGTGCGAAATTCCGAGTCACGTTAAGGGTCTTGCGGAGCAGACAATTTTGTTACGTGGTTTGAACTTTTTGGGCTTTTACGCGTGCCAGTTGCTTGGTGCTGTAGAAGCTGGAAAAGCCAGTGTCTCAGAGCTGACTCTTGCACGTGTGGTTCCAGGCATCGCTAAAGCCTACAATTGCAAGCGTACAACTGGTGGAATTTCCGAATGTATGGAAGCGTTAGGTGGTGTTGGATATCTTGAGTTTGACATGGAATTTAATATTGGCAAGTTGCTTCGCGACAACCAGGTCAATACCATTTGGGAGGGCACCACCAACGTGCTTTCAGATGACTTTGTACGATTTTTGATGAACAACTCCAAAGGAGTAGCAGATGCTCTTAGTGATTTCTTCAACGATCGGTTGGGGAATATTGAAGATGTTCCAGAACATGAGCGACAGCCAGAGGCATCAGCACCTAGCCTTGTGAGTCCTAATAATACGAGCGGGTCTCAATCGCAAGTTTTGGCAAAACTTAAGCGCCGAACTTCTGATGATCTTGCTTCATGGTTTGCTATGGTTGATGGGTCGAGTGGCAATGGAACTATTGATGTTTCAGCTGGAATGCTGAGCCAGCATGCACGCGAATATGTGTTCCAGCTCGCAGAGATTCTCATTTCAGTGCTACTGGTTTCCGATGCCGCACGACAGGTAACTGGCGATGTAGTAGGCGATTCTGTAGCATTAGAGGCTGCAACACGTTGGGTGCTCCGGGACCTGTCACGCTCGGCATTTGATCGAAGCAGCTTGTATGTTGGGCCCGATGAGCAGATTAATAAGTTGATTGTGTATGGCGATGTTCGTGCCAAATTGTAGTGAGTTTATTATAGCTATATATATAGCTAATTACTTAATAGTTACATTATAGTGCATCTAATTAGGTGAAATATGCCACCTCATCTGAAAAAAAAAAAAAAAAAAAACAATATCACAGCCGCCAGTTTCTTCAGTACTGAAAATGCCTCCACCACAACTCTCTCAAATCATTTCTGCCGGGTGGTTCTACAACGCTGGCTCCCAAACGCTTTCCAAGACCTTCACCTTTGCTAACGGTTTCCTTCCAACGTGGGCTTTTCTTCAGCAGCTTGCTCTTTACTCGCACCGTGCCCAGCACCATCCCCACATTGCCACGAAGTATAACGTCGTGACGCTTGAGTTGCACACAGACGACGAGCATAGCATATCCGATAAGGACATTAAAATGGCCAAGAAGGCCGATTCATTATTTTTTCAACTGACCAAATAATACATAAATAATACTTTTTCTATTATTATATAAATATGACTGTCTCTGCAATTTTTTTTCTCGACTCAAAGGGCAAGCCTTTGTTGTCACGCAACTACCGCGGCGACGTTCCCATAACCTCCGCTATTGACGCTTTCCCAAGTTTGCTGACAGAAGCTCAGCATCATTCTACAGCTGTTCCTCCGTGTATCAATCATAATGGCATAAATTACCTTTTCATCACACACAGTGACATTTATGTACTGGCATTGTCCAAACAGAATACCAATGCAAGTGCTGTATTGTTTTTCTTGCATCAACTCGTGCAAACTCTCATTCAATACCTCAACGCTTTGGATGAAGAAACAATCCGAGACAACTTTGTCATTATATACGAACTGTTGGATGAGATGATGGACTTTGGTCATCCCCAAATTTCAGACTACAAGGTGCTTCAAGAGTATATTACACAAGATTCGCATCCAGCATCGGCATCAGCCTCTTCAATTGTTACGAATTCCGTCTCATGGCGTCCTGAGGGTATTTTTTACAAGAAGAATGAACTCTTTTTGGATGTTATCGAATCTGTGGACTTTTTGCTTGGAGCAGATGGAAAAATCATCCGCAACGATGTTCAAGGAAAGGTTGTTATCAATGCATATCTCTCAGGCATGCCTGTGCTGAAACTAGGACTTAATGATGTGGACAAGAAGATATTAGAGCAACAAAAGAAAGAAGAAGAGGAAGGAGTTGACCATTCGCAAACATCACGGCCACGCAAAAAAATTGGCAGTAAGCAGGTGCACATGGAGGATATTAAATTTCACCAATGTGTGCAGCTGGATCAGTTTGAAAGTGATCGCACTATTATGTTTACTCCACCAGATGGAAAGTTTGATTTATTGACGTATCGTGTATCAAATGTGTCCCAAAGACCCTTGTTTGCGGTTGACGCAACAGTGGATCTTAAGTCGCACTCGCGAGCTATTATTAACGTGACAGTCAAATCTCAGTTTCGTAAACGGTCGACAGCAACGCAGGTTGAGGTACAAATTCCGGTTCCTCGCGACGCGGATTCACCGCGGTTTAAAACAACGGCTGGTACGGTGATTTACGCGCCAGAGCTAAACGCAGTTGTGTGGAAGATTAAGGATTTCCCCGGCGGTCAAGAATACAAGATGAAGGCACAGGTATCTCTATCGTCTCTGGCAGGTGAATTTGACGACAACGACGAACAGCTCACATCTGGTGCATCACAAACGGATTCTGCTAACGCTTACCGAACAGCAACATTGACACGAATCAAGAACCAGCCTGTGCGCGTCAAGTTTGACATTCCATACTTTGCGGTGTCTGGACTACAGGTGCGCTACCTCAAGGTAGAGGAAGCACGTCTGCAATATCAGGCACTGCCATGGGTGCGATACCTGACACAAAGCGGCGACGAGTTTGCAATTCGGTTGCCCCCCAAGAATGTGTTTTAGTTCATAACTTTTAAATAATTGTATAGCATAGTGGAATTGCAGAGCAAAATACTTCATAGAAGTTACTTGTGAGTCATTGAGTATACCCGGGTAAACAAACTTAGGGGAGTCATAATGGCGGCTAAGAATCATTAAACTAACTAATTTTATAATCGTTTTTTCTAATAATCAAAGAGTTTTGATAGCACTTTTGAAGGAACTTATTTTGGAGTCATTGGGCGGCTATTTATTTCGATGTTAATAAAAAAAAATGTTAGTATAAATATCAGGGTTCTTTTCCCCAGAATTTCTGTTTTTTTTTTTGTATATATACCTAAATTGCTTTCTACTTTTAGTAATCAACTATTGTATACACCATTGAATTAGCTCTCATAACCATAAAGCATATAATTATCAACAAACAATGACCATCGTCAGATTAGTTACTGCTTCCGACAAGCCCCAATGGCTTGTTCTCTGGAAAAAATACCTCGAGTTCTATGCTTCTACTGGAAACAAGGCAGCCGAGCATGTTCCAGATACTGTGACAAACACGACCTTTTCCCGCTTTTTGGACGATTCGGAGCCCATGGCGTGCCTTGTGGCCGAGGACGAGTCTTCAAAAACCCTTGTTGGTTTTGCACACATTCTCTGGCACCGAAACACTTGGGCAATCGAGGACAAAATCTACCTTAATGACCTATATGTTGATGAAAATATTCGCTGTGGCGGTGTAGGCCGCAAGCTTATTGAGGCCGTGTACAAATATGGTGACGAACACGGGATGCCTACGGTCTACTGGCGTACCCAAGAATTCAATCACCGCGCACAGCTGCTCTACACCAAGGTTGGTATTCGCGATGGCTTTCTTACCTACAAGAGACCTTGAACTGGATATTTTATTTTTTTTTAAATATATATACATACAAATATTTTTAGTTTTCAAAATCTATTTTAAAAGCTTTTCGAGCTCGCTTACTGTTTCACGACGATGACCAGAGACCTTACGCTGGGCCTCGACACGAGCATCCCATTTGCCCCATAGTTCTTTTTCAGCTTCAGCAATTGTTGCACGTGCAGTTTCTGTGACTTGGGTCGTGAACTGGGCAGCTGCACGGGCCCACGCACGCTGTATCCTTGCCGCACCAACAACAACGCCAAGCGCCATGACCGAGCCAGCAGCATAGAGCGAGCAGTAATCTAACCCGTAGACTGCAGTAAGCGGCAGCACAACAAGCGGAAGTTGGACACCCACAAGGTTGGTCAGGAGTGCTCGTAGACCCGAATTGTGGAGCTGCGCGCCTGCTGTTTCCAAAAGAGTGCGCCGCGCCCTCCCAAACACGTCAGGAACAGAAGGTGACGATATTGTGGGTGTAGGCTTAGTCTCATCAGGAAGAGTTGTGATGCTGTCTAATGCTGCTTGCTCAACCACTTGGGCCTCCTTTTCTGAGGGGAACTGGTGAAGATCCGCAAATTGGTCGACACGGCCGCAGAGGTACTTGAACCGGTCCTCAGCACGCGGAAGGAAATAGTAGCGTAAAAAGGTCTCGTCAACTGTACTAAAGATATCATCGACACGCCAATACAATTTGTACCAGGGAATGGTGTTGGGCATAGGCGTGGGACCGTTGCCGAAAAGACTTGTGAGATGCTCAGCAAGACTTGTTTGGAGTTCAGTGTGAGCTTCTGCTGACCACGCAGCTCTGCGGCGGGCCATTTCGGCACCTTCTGCAGCCACAGCTTGAGTGACTTGCTCCTCTGCATCTACAATAGCACGTGTCGATGCCAGCACAGTCTGTGCCAAAGTGTGCTGAGCATTAGCAAGATTAGCAATGTCGCTTAGCGACTTGACCTCGGGGACTTTCCCTGAAAGAACGGTTGACCCAGCTGGGGGATATGCGAAAAGAGCAGAGTTAATAGCCTGTGTGTTAGCGCGAGCGTGGAGAGCAAGGTACTGATCAACATTCTGCGGGCTTTTACGCAACAGGGTATTGGCTTCATCTGCGCTTTCTGAGGATACGATAGGGAATGGCAGCGCCTTGATGGTGGAATCAGCGGTATACTTGCGCTTTTCTGCTGAATAGTCGACGAGAACTAGTGATGGCAATGCTTCAGTGCCTGGAAACAAATATTTGTCTGGCCAGCGGGCAGCTAATTCTGCATCTTTTACGTCGGAAGTAATATATACAACACGATGACAACGTAGGATATGGTCAAGTGAATCTGCTGCAGAGGTAGCCTCGAGAATGGCAATACGCTGAGAGGCCTCCGACAAAACTTCAGGCACATTTTCTTCGGGTGTATTTTCCGGAATAAGTCCTTCGCGTGGAACCGTTAAGGGGACTTCGTATTCAACAATGGAATTATGCGTGATAGGAGCTGCATTATACTCGCGCGCGTGCCGGACCAAAGTGTTTTTGGCAAGGTTACGATCACGGATGGCATCACGCCAGACTTGGTCGGTAGCAAGTGGATCAGCCAGAGCCACGTCTAAGTTACGTGCAATGGCTTTACGAGAGGTTCCGGGAAGCGGAACAATAGCGACACGAACAGCAGGATCGTTAGCGAGAAGAAGATTAATGCGAGCATGGAGAAAGCCGTTGGCAGCGCGGGTATCAGGAAACTGAACCTTGAGACGAGTCAGGAGACTGGAAGGCAGTGTAGATAAGGAGCGCAATGGTATCTTGGACGATCTTGATGGCGGACGGCGTAGAGGCAGCAGCAGCATTATGAAGGGACGGATTAAGGAACGGGGGATTTTTTTTTAGGAGTGAGGGTGAGGGATATGGTGGTGGTGAGAAGTTTAGTATGCAAAAGCAGCAGGGCAGTATGTAAGTTACATCTTACACGGCAGATAACAAACCAAACAATTGTTAACTCGAGGCGACTATTCGGGACCCAGGGTAGGAAAAAAGCATCGGCGACAGGTCTAGCCGACAGGAGTTCGAGAGGTATATAAGGACTTTGAAGGTTATCAAATTTGCAAGAAGTTTTAAAATTAGTTTATCTTTTTTTTTTTTTTTAATTTTCATTTTCATTTTCATTTTCATTTCTCAAATTTCAATCTTTCAATCTACTATCATCACTTTATCTCCATAATAAAATAATAATAACAACTACAACCACAACGCCCAAAATGACTGCCACCATCCGTTTAATCACTGAAGCAGATAAACCCCAATGGGTGGAGCTTTGGCACAAGTACCTTAAATTTTATGCGTCGACTGGTATTCCATCCGATTTACCTGATACTGTCACTGACACGACTTTTGCACGTTTTCTTGATGACAAGGAGCCCATGGCTTGTTTTGTGGCCGAAGACGACGAAACCCACAAGCTTATTGGGTTTGCCAATTTCCTGTGGCACCGAAACACATGGGCTGTTGAAGACCGCATCTACTTGAACGATTTGTTTGTCGATGAATCGGTCCGCTGTGGCGGTGTTGGTCGCAAGCTAATTGAAGCTATTTACAAGTACGGCGATGAACATGGTATGCCTAGCGTATACTGGATGACCCAGGTCTTCAACCACCGTGCACAGCTACTCTACACGAAGGCTGGTGTTCGTGACGGGTTCGTAACATACTCGAGACCTTGATTGTTTCGGGGAATTACCGGTGGGTAAAAGTCCTGTTGAGATTGAAGTAGCAGAAATAGTTAAAGCTTAGTTAGTTAGTTAGTACCGGGTACGCTAGTTAGTAACAAAAGGCCTCCATCCATATAATTCAGATAACTCTTTCCATTCACATTGGCAAAAGCCACATTCACATTTCAAATGATCTCGTCAACAACTAAAACCGTTCTCACTAGACTACAGGCCTTTGGTCATGGGGTCGTGCCCAATCCAGAGATCCCAACTCCGTCGTTTGCTGCTTGGGACTCGGTTCCGGCAAAACGCCGAGCCGCCGTGCTTGTTGTACTCTTTGAAACAAAGAATCCAATCACAAACCGAGTTGAACTGTCGACTGTTTTAACAACGCGTGCGGCACATCTGTCGTCTTTTTCGGGGCATGTGGCTCTACCCGGTGGCAAGGCCGACTCGGAACAAGAGACTGCTCGTGAAGCAGCTCGTCGTGAGGCTTCTGAGGAAATAGGGTTCCCGGCAATGCTTCCAGAAAACGACCCTATTGTTGATGTCGCGCGCTTCCCAGCATACCTCTCGCGTAACCTGCTAGCTGTTGCACCATCTATTGCATATGTCCCTTCGCCAGCACAAATACCGCCGTTATATGGACTGCCAGATGTTTTACCAGATGACCTTGATGAAGTGTTACGCGCGGGCGGAGAGGTTGGCGAAGTTTTTAGCGTTCCTCTGCGGTATTTTCTTTACCTCCATCCACCCGGGTCAACACCAGGGGCTCCTCCAGGCCGCAAACCACCAGTAACGCCATGGTACACTGGCGGGGATGCCATTTGGGGTGGGCTTTCGTGGTGGATGCACCACTTTGCGGTGCGCCGACGCGTAAATAAGCTCCCCGGAGAGCCTGCACACTTCTCCGTGTGGGGGCTTACTGCTCGCATTCTACTGGATGTTGCGCGTGTTGGGTACGCGCAGGTCCCGGAGATGCGACACACGCACAATATTGGCGACGAGGCATTGTTAGAAGCGCTTGTTTCTGGTGGGTACATGGCAGTTCCACGGTCTAAGCGGGACCTAAGTTTCAACTTTGCAAAGGCTTTTGGTCGGGACTCGCCACTTCTCAAGAGTAGATTGTAACATTAAAATCTATACAAAAAAAAAAAAAAAAAAAAAAGAAAAAAAAATTTATATATGATAGACAAGTTTTTCCAAGGCCTCTTGGACATTAGTCTTTTCGGCCTTGACAAGCTTGATGATTTGCTTAAACTCGGGGATGCTAGCGTCTTGCATGACCTCATAAATGAAGGACTCTGAAGTGGAGACGTGGGCCCCGAGAGCCGCCGCCCGGCGCAGGGCAATGGGTTTTTCGAGACGGTTTACAGAAGAAACGCCATCTGCAAGAACGTAAACATCATGGCCATTTGCCCGAAGATCCTTAACAGTTTGCAAAACGCACACATGTGACTCAATTCCAACAATTGCAACCGGCAGGCCCTTGGGCAGTTTTTCTGCAATCTCAGGAACATACATAGAGAACTTGGACTTGTCGGCATCGACAACAGCTTGTGAAATGAGAGGTTGAAGCTCAGCAACGGTGTCTCCAAGACCCTTTTTGTTCTGGGTTGTTACATATACGGGAAGGCCGAGAATGCGTGCGGCCTCCAACACACGCCGAGATGTGCGCACAACCTCATCAAAGCCAAAAATTGCTGGACGGAATCTTTCCTGAATGTCGCAAATAAAGATAGCAGGACGAAGAGACATTTTTATTTATCTTGATGATTTATTTATTTTTTGTTTTTTGGTAAATGTAGTTAAAACTTATTAGGGTATTGGTATTTATTAGAAAAATTTTTTTTTGATGGTTCAAAAGTATTTTGGGGAAGACCTTCCCTTATAAACCTTTTCTCCTATATATATTTATCTTTTGTAACCCCGCACCAAACAAAGCCTAAAAAAAATATATATATGTTTGACCTTTCACAACAAATTACCGCCGCATACTACCCGGGCAAAAGTCCCGTCCCGGGCAACCGGAGTCAGACCACTGGTCCGGAAAAGGGGACTGAGGCAAAGTCACATGCGTTATGGATGTCATATCCGGCCAGAAAACGTTGTGCTGTGCTTGCTATTCTGTTCCCTTTGGACGAGACTGGTAGTGACTATGGCGTGGTTCTCACTCAGCGGTCTCCAGCACTTCGCACGTCGCCTTCGGTTTCAGCGTTCCCGGGTGGACGGCTCGATGCAGCAGATAATAATGACGAGTGGGCGTGTGCCTTGCGCGAAGCTCATGAGGAGATTGGTTTCGACCCGGCTAATGTGCCAGGCTTCGAGCGGCTCGCCATCTCACCATGTTACCTGTCTCTGGGTAATGATGCTGTTCGTATGTGTATCTGTAAAGCCACACCTAAAGTTGATCTTATAGTGGCTAATAATGAACCTGATGCTATATCAACTGCTCATAAGGTTGGTCCTGAAACTGGAAAAGGTGAGGAAATTTCGGTAGAAAAAGTTTCGCCAAAAGAGCCAGCCTTTCTTAAGCATCTGGCCCCAAAACCCTCACCCACAGAAGTAGCAGTGGCTTACGCCGTGCCACTTTCTTGCATCCTAACAAACAAATGGTATGTTCGTGGCACACCTATGCTCGTGGCTGGACACCCATGGATATTCCATAAATACCGGGTCCCAGTTGGCGATGTTTTGGGGTTGGTAAGATCCCATGCAGTGACTCCAGCCGAAATCAATTCCGCTTATCAAGATAGTGACGAGGAAATTGAAGAAGAGATGCGACAACAGGCCTCTGCACCGGAACCCACCGAAGAAGTTCCCCAGTGGACCACCCGGACTCCAACCTCACTGAAATACACACCGGGTGAAAAGGCGATTCCTTTGCACGGCCTTACCTCGCACATGGTGGTGGATCTTGCACGTGCACTCCACCCAGGGCAAAAGGTTTTATTTGAAGTGTTGCCCCAGCTGGGATCTGATGAGATTGTGAGCCAATACCACGCCGAAACCTATGGGCCCAACAATTCAGGCTCTTCGTTGTAAGGGGGATTTTTCCAGTCTTTCAGGGTGAAGAAAACAAGAATGGTCTTATTTTATAGATATATATATATATATATATATAAGGGATAATCATAAATGTGAAACGCACTAGAGATTGGATTTTATCAATCAATCAACCATTAGCCTAGTATATTTATGTTTATATTTCATTTATAGGAAAATATGTGAAAGGAAAATTAACATTGGGTTGAAACGTTCAGAATTCCATATTATTCTGATAATTAATATATATAACTAATATATCACAAGAACCATATGCGATTCTAAATTTGGGGGGTATGAATTAAATCCGATCATTAGTCGAGCTAAAGATCGAGTAGTATTTTTTTTTTCTTTAAATAAAAGGGTTAAAAGGAAGAAATATGAAGTTATTTTTTTTTTTAGTTATAATTTTCATTAAAAGAAAAATACCTATAAGAAAGATCATGGCTAGTATACTTATTAGAGGATAATTATTAATTAACAAAATACTTTACATCATAATAGGCATTATATGATATATATAATTAAAAAATATAATTTATTATTAGTTGTTGTGATTTATTATTATAAAACCAATATATTAAATGTACATGAAATAAGATGTAATTATTATTATTATTATTATTATTAAGTAATTACTTAATAATATATAGTTATTATTATATGCTTAACGCACCTAAATAGAGTGTTACATTGTGCTAAAATGGCATTGACCGGAATTAGATAATTGAAAAAAAAGGGTCTTGCCAAAAAAAGAAAAGAAGAAAAGTCAGTGCGCTTAACATGGAATTTTCGCTTCCAACCATTTTAAGGATGAAAAAAAAAAAAAAAAAAAAAAAAAGAGAGTTTGACTTTAAGTAACAATTATAGAATTCGCTTTTTTTTTTTTTTTAAGGTTAGCAAAAAAAAAAAAAAAAAAAAAAGAATATGCTAAATTAGGAAAATGACATGGCAAAAAAATGCTTTAACGCAACTAAGCTTTAGAGTAACAATGAAGAGTGAAAGAAGGTCCTTGTAAGCAAATGTCAAAAAAAAAAAATAAAAAATAAAAAATAAACGCCTCTCTAGGGCTTCTAAAGTAATGTTTTTATTTTTATTTTGACAGGACCCAGGATTCCTTCCATAAAAGTGACTTTTAAATATTTAATTTATATGTGCAGAGTGGCCATGCAAATAATCCTTAATATTTGTTCCGTTGATATTTCTCACCAAAGTCCTATCAATAGTTTAACATCCCCCCCCTTCTCTAAAATAGTAAAATAAAATGTTTTTAATAAATTTCTTTTTTTTCTGAATATAAACTATTCTAAAAATATATATATATATATATATAATTATTAATTTATAATTTAAAAAAATAAACTAAATTATAAGTTTATTAGAATGTTAGTTCAAAAAAAAAAAAAAAAAAAAAAAAAACCTTACACAGTAAAGAAAAATGTATAATTATAATTATAATTATAATCTTGGAAATCAAACAATTAACTATACTTAAATTCAAGGCGCAAATATCTTTAATTTCAAAAAGCAAAACCCAATTCATATTTAGTATGAAAGTCTTAAAAAGAAAATACCAACCTAAGGGTATCCCGACCGTCTTGTGGGTGATTTCAGCTACTTCCTGAAAAAAAAAAATAAAAAAAAAGATAACATAAAAGAATAATTTAAAAATAAGAAAAAAAAATACAACTTTAAAACCTAAATAATGGCATATGTAACTTATAGATATATAACATATGGAGAAAAATAAATTATTTTCATAATTTCAAATTAATGAATCTAGTAAAATATGAGGCGTGAAACAAGTCCCGTTTAGTAAACATTTAAACTTCCCATTAACTCAAAAATAACTTTTCTAAATCAATAGTATATAAACAAATTGATTTCTCCACGATTCCATTTTATTTCAGTTTTTTTTTTTCCTCTTTATTTTTTTTAACCAAAATATATTTAACTAAACATTCGTTTTATAATCCTAACTTTATTCTCATTCATTAAACAATATTAAAGTCATAATTAATTAAGTTCATTTTCAAGTTTTACAACAACTTGTTTTTTATTATTTATTTTTTTTTAAAATAAATTATGAAAATCAGTTATTCTTTATTTTTATTCTTAAATGCATTACCGGCATTGAGTTCTCCTGGTTATTCAGGCGGCGGTAGCGGCGGCGGTGGTGGCGGCGGCGGCAGTAATAATAATGGTAATGGTGGAGGTAATAATGGTGGTGGCAGCGGAAGTAACAATTGCGTTCAACCCCCATCTCACAGCGACTGTAAATCTAGTTGTAGCAGACTAAATTCACTAGCAAGTCAGTTAAAAAACAGCAGATCGTCAGACTGCTCATCTCTCAGCAGCTACTCAAGTGATTACAATAACTGCTATCAAGGTAAATCATACTACAAAGAAACCACTTTCGACATTAGTAACGACAATTTTAACAGTTGCAAATCCAAATGGGATGAATGCCAAAATTCCACACCATCAACAAACTTTTGTTCTGAATCCAGTTCTGAATCGGAATCCAGTTCAACTATATTTTATACGTCCTCATCTGCGCAATCATCTTCTGAGGAAGGTTCTTCATCCACCCTATCTTCGTCACTTGAATCATCAACTGAATCTTCAACCGAGCCTTCGTCCACTGAATCTTCCACTGAGTCTTCAACCGAGTCTTCAACCGAGTCTTCAACCGAGTCTTCAACCGAGTCTTCAACCGAGTCTTCAACCGAGCCTTCGTCCACTGAATCTTCCACTGAGTCTTCAACCGAGTCTTCAACCGAGTCTTCAACCGAGTCTTCAACCGAGTCTTCAACTGAGCCTTCATCTTCAGAGTCGTCTTTATCTGAATTATCATCTGAGTCTTCAACTACTGAATCATCTTCTGAAGTGGTAAGTACAATTATTTCTTTAAACAATCTGATACTAACTATATTTTTAGGAATCTACATCTACTGAGTCATCTACAGTTGAGCCGTCTTCGTCCGCCAGCAGTACGTGCGTCAAAGCCCCTAGCCATAGTGACTGCTCCTCAAGTTGCAAGGGTTTAACTCAGTTTGTTGGCTTATGCAAATCTAAGGACTTTAAATGTTCTCAATTTAACGATGGTTATCAAAATGATTTTAACACATGTTATCAGGGTCAAAGCCATTATGGTCACCAGTTTGGTATTGGAAGCTCTGACTTTAATGTCATCAAGAGCAAATATAAGGACTGTGGTCATTCAACAACCTCTACTAATTACTGTTCTGATTCAACTTCTGAATATGAAGAAAGCACTACTAAATATGAATCATCATCTGAGACTTATACTGTTGAGTCTTCTTCAGCTAGTGATGAGTGTGTTGAAATTCCAAGTGAAAATGATTGCCATTCCAGTTGCAACAAGCTATCAGGTATTGTTGGAAATCTCAGAAATGGTAAATATAAGTGTTCCGATCTCAGTAACAACTACAAGAAGTACTATAACAAGTGTTACATTGGAAAGAACCACTACGGCAACAACTTTGGATTAGGTGATAATGACTTCAGTGTTGTTAAATCGAAGATGGGTGGATGTCAAATCCCAACACCAGATGTTAACTACTGTTCATCAACTTCATCTGTTGAATCATCTACAGTTGAATCTACTACAGTTGAATCATCATCTGCTGAATCATCATCTGCTGAGTCTTCATCTATTGAGTCTTCATCTGCTGAATCATCATCCGCTGAATCATCATCTGTGGAATCTACTACAGTTGAATCAACTACAGTTGAATCTACTACAGTTGAATCTACTACAGTTGAATCTACTACAGTTGAATCATCGTCTATTGAATCATCATCTGCTAGTAGTACTTGTGTCAAGCCTCCAAGCCATAGTGACTGCTCCTCAAGTTGCAAGGGTTTGACTCAGTTTGTTGGCTTATGCAAATCTAAGGACTTTAAATGTTCTCAATTTAACGATGGTTATCAAAATGATTTTAACACATGTTATCAGGGTCAAAGCCATTATGGTCACCAGTTTGGTATTGGAAGTTCTGACTTTAATGTCATCAAGAGCAAATATAAGGACTGTGGTCATTCAACAACCTCTACTAATTACTGTTCTGATTCAACTTCTGAATATGAAGAAAGCACTACTAAATATGAATCATCATCTGAGACTTATACTGTTGAGTCTTCTTCAGCTAGTGATGAGTGTGTTGAAATTCCAAGTGAAAATGATTGCCATTCCAGTTGCAACAAGCTATCAGGTATTGTTGGAAATCTCAGAAATGGTAAATATAAGTGTTCAGATCTCAGTAACAACTACAAGAAGTACTATAACAAGTGTTACATTGGAAAGAACCACTACGGCAACAACTTTGGATTAGGTGATAATGACTTCAGTGTTGTTAAATCGAAGATGGGTGGATGTCAAATCCCAACACCAGATGTTAATTACTGTTCATCAACTTCATCTGTTGAATCATCTACAGTTGAATCTACTACAGTTGAATCATCATCTACTGAATCATCATCCGCTGAGTCTTCATCTATTGAGTCTTCATCTGCTGAATCATCATCTGCTGAATCATCATCTGCTGAATCATCATCCGCTGAATCATCATCTGTGGAATCTACTACAGTTGAATCAACTACAGTTGAATCTACTACAGTTGAATCTACTACAGTTGAATCTACTACAGTTGAATCATCGTCTATTGAATCATCATCTGCTAGTAGTACTTGTGTCAAGCCTCCAAGCCATAGTGACTGCTCCTCAAGTTGCAAGGGTTTGACTCAGTTTGTTGGCTTATGCAAATCTAAGGACTTTAAATGTTCTCAATTTAACGATGGTTATCAAAATGATTTTAACACATGTTATCAGGGTCAAAGCCATTATGGTCACCAGTTTGGTATTGGAAGTTCTGACTTTAATGTCATCAAGAGCAAATATAAGGACTGTGGTCATTCAACAACCTCTACTAATTACTGTTCTGATTCAACTTCTGAATATGAAGAAAGCACTACTAAATATGAATCATCATCTGAGACTTATACTGTTGAGTCTTCTTCAGCTAGTGATGAGTGTGTTGAAATTCCAAGTGAAAATGATTGCCATTCCAGTTGCAACAAGCTATCAGGTATTGTTGGAAATCTCAGAAATGGTAAATATAAGTGTTCCGATCTCAGTAACAACTACAAGAAGTACTATAACAAGTGTTACATTGGAAAGAACCACTACGGCAACAACTTTGGATTAGGTGATAATGACTTCAGTGTTGTTAAATCGAAGATGGGTGGATGTCAAATCCCAACACCAGATGTTAACTACTGTTCATCAACTTCATCTGTTGAATCATCTACAGTTGAATCTACTACAGTTGAATCATCATCTGCTGAATCATCATCTGCTGAGTCTTCATCTATTGAGTCTTCATCTGCTGAATCATCATCCGCTGAATCATCATCTGTGGAATCTACTACAGTTGAATCAACTACAGTTGAATCTACTACAGTTGAATCTACTACAGTTGAATCTACTACAGTTGAATCATCGTCTATTGAATCATCATCTGCTAGTAGTACTTGTGTCAAGCCTCCAAGCCATAGTGACTGCTCCTCAAGTTGCAAGGGTTTGACTCAGTTTGTTGGCTTATGCAAATCTAAGGACTTTAAATGTTCTCAATTTAACGATGGTTATCAAAATGATTTTAACACATGTTATCAGGGTCAAAGCCATTATGGTCACCAGTTTGGTATTGGAAGTTCTGACTTTAATGTCATCAAGAGCAAATATAAGGACTGTGGTCATTCAACAACCTCTACTAATTACTGTTCTGATTCAACTTCTGAATATGAAGAAAGCACTACTAAATATGAATCATCATCTGAGACTTATACTGTTGAGTCTTCTTCAGCTAGTGATGAGTGTGTTGAAATTCCAAGTGAAAATGATTGCCATTCCAGTTGCAACAAGCTATCAGGTATTGTTGGAAATCTCAGAAATGGTAAATATAAGTGTTCCGATCTCAGTAACAACTACAAGAAGTACTATAACAAGTGTTACATTGGAAAGAACCACTACGGCAACAACTTTGGATTAGGTGATAATGACTTCAGTGTTGTTAAATCGAAGATGGGTGGATGTCAAATCCCAACACCAGATGTTAATTACTGTTCATCAACTTCATCTGTTGAATCATCTACAGTTGAATCTACTACAGTTGAATCATCATCTACTGAATCATCATCCGCTGAGTCTTCATCTATTGAGTCTTCATCTGCTGAATCATCATCTGCTGAATCATCATCTGCTGAATCATCATCCGCTGAATCATCATCTGTGGAATCTACTACAGTTGAATCAACTACAGTTGAATCTACTACAGTTGAATCTACTACAGTTGAATCTACTACAGTTGAATCATCGTCTATTGAATCATCATCTGCTAGTAGTACTTGTGTCAAGCCTCCAAGCCATAGTGACTGCTCCTCAAGTTGCAAGGGTTTGACTCAGTTTGTTGGCTTATGCAAATCTAAGGACTTTAAATGTTCTCAATTTAACGATGGTTATCAAAATGATTTTAACACATGTTATCAGGGTCAAAGCCATTATGGTCACCAGTTTGGTATTGGAAGTTCTGACTTTAATGTCATCAAGAGCAAATATAAGGACTGTGGTCATTCAACAACCTCTACTAATTACTGTTCTGATTCAACTTCTGAATATGAAGAAAGCACTACTAAATATGAATCATCATCTGAGACTTATACTGTTGAGTCTTCTTCAGCTAGTGATGAGTGTGTTGAAATTCCAAGTGAAAATGATTGCCATTCCAGTTGCAACAAGCTATCAGGTATTGTTGGAAATCTCAGAAATGGTAAATATAAGTGTTCCGATCTCAGTAACAACTACAAGAAGTACTATAACAAGTGTTACATTGGAAAGAACCACTACGGCAACAACTTTGGATTAGGTGATAATGACTTCAGTGTTGTTAAATCGAAGATGGGTGGTTGTCAAATCCCAACACCAGATGTTAACTACTGTTCATCAACTTCATCTGTTGAATCATCTACAGTTGAATCTACTACAGTTGAATCATCATCTGCTGAATCATCATCTGCTGAGTCTTCATCTATTGAGTCTTCATCTGCTGAATCATCATCCGCTGAATCATCATCTGTGGAATCTACTACAGTTGAATCAACTACAGTTGAATCTACTACAGTTGAATCTACTACAGTTGAATCATCATCTGCTGAATCATCATCCGCTGAATCTTCATCTGTGGAATCTTCATCTGCTGAATCTTCATCTGTTGAGTCTTCATCCGCAGAATCATCATCTGCTGAATCTTCATCTGCTGAGTCTTCATCCGTGGAGTCTTCATCTATTGAGTCTTCCTCTGCTGAATCTTCCTCTGCTGAATCATCATCTGCTGAGTCTTCATCCGTGGAGTCTTCATCTGTTGAATCTTCATCAGCTGAATCTTCATCTGCTGAATCATCATCTGCTGAATCATCATCTGCTGAATCATCATCTGCTGAATCTTCCTCTGCTGAATCTTCATCTGCTGAATCATCATCTGCTGAATCATCATCTGCTGAATCATCATCTGCTGAATCTTCATCTGTTGAGTCTTCCTCTGCTGAATCATCATCTGCTGAATCATCATCTGCTGAATCATCATCTGCTGAATCTTCATCTGCTGAGTCTTCATCTGCTGAATCATCATCTGCTGAGTCTTCATCCGTGGAGTCTTCATCTATTGAATCATCATCTGCTGAATCATCATCTGCTGAGTCTTCATCTGTTGAATCATCATCTGCTGAATCAACATCTGCTGAATCATCATCTGCTGAATCTTCATCTGTTGAATCATCATCCGTGGAGTCTTCATCTATTGAATCATCATCTGCTGAATCATCATCTGCTGAGCCTTCATCCTCTGCTAGTAGTGAATGTGTTGAACCTCCAAGCTCTCATGATTGTTCATCCAGTTGCAAGGGTTTGAATAAATTTGTTGGTCTATGCAAATCTTCTAATTTCCAATGTTCTCAGTTTAATGATGGTTATCAAAATGATTTCAATACTTGTTATCAGGGTCAACACCATTACGGACACAAATTTGGTATTGATGATTCCGACTTTAATGTCATTAAGGGCAAATACAAGGATTGTGGTCACACAACAACTACTATCGAATACTGCTCTTATTCAACTTCTGAATATGAAGAAAGCACTACTGAATATGAATCATCATCTGAGACTTATACTGTTGAGTCTTCTTCAGCTAGTGATGAGTGTGTTGAAATTCCAAGTGAAAATGATTGCCATTCCAGTTGCAACAAGCTATCAGGTATTGTTGGAAATCTCAGAAATGGTAAATATAAGTGTTCCGATCTTGATGACAATTACAAGAAGTACTATAACAAGTGTTACATTGGAAAGAATCACTACGGCAACAACTTTGGATTAGGTGATAATGACTTCAGGGTTGTTAAATCAAAGATGGGTGGATGTCAAATCCCAACACCAGATGTTAATTATTGTTCATCAACTTCATCTGTTGAATCATCTACAGTTGAATCATCATCTGCTGAATCTTCATCTGCTGAATCTTCATCTGCTGAATCATCATCTGCTGAATCTTCATCTGCTGAATCATCATCTGCTGAATCATCATCATCTGTGGAGTCTTCATCTGCTGAATCTTCATCTGCTGAATCTTCATTCGTTGAATCTTCATCTGCTGAATCTTCATCTGCTGAATCATCATCTGCTGAATCATCATCTGCTGAGTCTTCATCTGCTGAATCATCATCCGCTGAATCTTCATCTGCTGAATCATCATCCGCTGAATCATCATCTGCTGAATCTTCATCTGCTGAATCATCATCTGCTGAATCTTCATCTGTTGAGTCTTCCTCTGCTGAATCTTCATCTTCTGAATCATCATCTGTTGAATCATCATCTGCTGAATCTTCATCTGTGGAATCTTCATCTGCTGAATCATCATCTGCTGAATCATCATCTGCTGAATCTTCATCTGTTGAATCATCATCCGTGGAGTCTTCATCTATTGAATCATCATCTGCTGAGTCTTCATCCGTAGAGTCTTCATCTATTGAATCATCCTCTGCTGAATCTTCATCTGCTGAATCTTCATCTGTTGAATCATCATCTGTTGAATCATCATCCGTGGAGTCTTCATCTATTGAATCATCATCTGCTGAATCATCATCTGCTGAGCCTTCATCCTCTGCTAGTAGTGAATGTGTTGAACCTCCAAGCTCTCATGATTGTTCATCCAGTTGCAAGGGTTTGAATAAATTTGTTGGTCTATGCAAATCTTCTAATTTCCAATGTTCTCAGTTTAATGATGGTTATCAAAATGATTTCAATACTTGTTATCAGGGTCAACACCATTACGGACACAAATTTGGTATTGATGATTCCGACTTTAATGTCATTAAGAGCAAATACAAGGATTGTGGTCACACAACAACTACTATCGAATACTGCTCTTATTCAACTTCTGAATATGAAGAAAGCACTACTAAATATGAATCATCATCTGAGACTTATACTGTTGAGTCTTCTTCAGCTAGTGATGAGTGTGTTGAAATTCCAAGTGAAAATGATTGCCATTCCAGTTGCAACAAGCTATCAGGTATTGTTGGAAATCTCAGAAATGGTAAATATAAGTGTTCCGATCTTGATGACAATTACAAGAAGTACTATAACAAGTGTTACATTGGAAAGAATCACTACGGCAACAACTTTGGATTAGGTGATAATGACTTCAGTGTTGTTAAATCAAAGATGGGTGGATGTCAAATCCCAACACCAGATGTTAATTACTGTTCATCAACTTCATCTGTTGAATCATCTACAGTTGAATCTACTACCGTTGAATCATCATCTACTGAATCTTCATCTGCTGAGTCTTCATCTGTTGAGTCTTCATCTGCTGAATCATCATCCGCTGAATCATCATCCGCTGAATCATCATCATCTGTGGAGTCTTCATCTGCTGAATCTTCATCTGCTGAATCATCATCTGCTGAATTATCATCTGCTGAATCATCATCTGCTGAATCATCATCTGCTGAATCTTCATCTGTAGAATCATCATCTGCTGAGTCTTCATCTGTAGAATCATCATCTGCTGAGTCTTCATCCGTGGAGTCTTCATCTATTGAATCATCCTCTGCTGAATCTTCATCCGTTGAATCTTCATCTGTTGAATCTTCATCTGCTGAATCTTCATCTGCTGAATCTTCATCTGCTGAATCTTCATCTGTTGAATCATCATCCGTGGAGTCTTCATCTATTGAATCATCATCTGCTGAATCATCATCTGCTGAGCCTTCATCTTCTGCTAGTAGTGAATGTGTTGAACCTCCAAGCTCTCATGATTGTTCATCTAGTTGCAAGGGTTTGAATAAATTTGTTGGTCTATGCAAATCTTCTAATTTCCAATGTTCTCAGTTTAATGATGGTTATCAAAATGATTTCAATACTTGTTATCAGGGTCAACACCATTACGGACACAAATTTGGTATTGATGATTCCGACTTTAATGTCATTAAGAGCAAATACAAGGATTGTGGTCACACAACAACTACTATCGAATACTGCTCTTATTCAACTTCTGAATATGAAGAAAGCACTACTGAATATGAATCATCATCTGAGACTTATACTGTTGAGTCTTCTTCAGCTAGTGATGAGTGTGTTGAAATTCCAAGTGAAAATGATTGCCATTCCAGTTGCAACAAGCTATCAGGTATTGTTGGAAATCTCAGAAATGGTAAATATAAGTGTTCCGATCTTGATGACAATTACAAGAAGTACTATAACAAGTGTTACATTGGAAAGAATCACTATGGCAACAACTTTGGATTTAATGATAATGACTTCGGTGTTGTTGAGTCGAAGATGGGTGGTTGCCAGATCCCACCACCAGATGTTAATTATTGTTCATCAACGTCATCAGCTGAATCATCATCTGTAGAGTCGTCCTCTGCTGAATCATCATCTGCTGAATCATCATCTGCTGAGTCTTCATCGGTGGAGTCTTCATCTATTGAATCATCCTCTGCTGAATCTTCATCTGCTGAATCATCATCTGTTGAATCATCATCTGCTGAATCATCATCTGCTGAGTCATCATCTGTTGAATCATCAACTGCTGAATCATCATCTGCTGAATCATCATATGTTGAGTCTTCATCGGTGGAGTCTTCATCTATTGAATCATCATCTGCTGAATCATCATCTGCTGAATCTTCATCTGCTGAATCTTCATCTGCTGAATCTTCATCTGTTGAATCTTCATCTGCTGAATCATCATCTGCTGAATCATCATCCGCTGAATCTTCATCTGCTGAATCTTCATCTGCTGAATCATCATCTGCTGAATCTTCATCTGTTGAGTCTTCCTCTGCTGAATCTTCATCTGCTGAATCATCATCTGCTGAATCATCATCTGCTGAATCATCATCTGCTGAATCTTCATCTGCTGAATCATCATCTGCTGAGTCTTCATCCGTGGAGTCTTCATCTATTGAATCATCATCTGCTGAATCTTCATCTGCTGAGTCTTCATCTGTTGAATCATCATCTGCTGAATCATCATCTGCTGAATCTTCATCTGTTGAATCATCATCCGTGGAGTCTTCATCTATTGAATCATCATCTGCTGAATCATCATCTGCTGAGCCTTCATCCTCTGCTAGTAGTGAATGTGTTGAACCTCCAAGCTCTCATGATTGTTCATCCAGTTGCAAGGGTTTGAATAAATTTGTTGGTCTATGCAAATCTTCTAATTTCCAATGTTCTCAGTTTAATGATGGTTATCAAAATGATTTCAATACTTGTTATCAGGGTCAACACCATTACGGACCTAAAATTTGGTATTGATGATTCCGACTTTAATGTCATTAAGGGCAAATACAAGGATTGTGGTCACACAACAACTACTATCGAATACTGCTCTTATTCAACTTCTGAATATGAAGAAAGCACTACTGAATATGAATCATCATCTGAGACTTATACTGTTGAGTCTTCTTCAGCTAGTGATGAGTGTGTTGAAATTCCAAGTGAAAATGATTGCCATTCCAGTTGCAACAAGCTATCAGGTATTGTTGGAAATCTCAGAAATGGTAAATATAAGTGTTCCGATCTTGATGACAATTACAAGAAGTACTATAACAAGTGTTACATTGGAAAGAATCACTACGGCAACAACTTTGGATTAGGTGATAATGACTTCAGTGTTGTTAAATCAAAGATGGGTGGATGTCAAATCCCAACACCAGATGTTAATTATTGTTCATCAACTTCATCTGTTGAATCATCTACAGTTGAATCATCATCTGCTGAATCTTCATCTGCTGAATCTTCATCTGTTGAATCATCATCTGCTGAATCATCATCTGCTGAATCTTCATCTGTTGAATCTTCATCTGCTGAATCTTCATCTGTTGAATCTTCATCCGTGGAGTCTTCATCTATTGAATCATCCTCTGCTGAATCATCATCTGCTGAATCTTCATCTGCTGAATCTTCATCTGCTGAATCATCATCTGCTGAGTCTTCATCTGTGGAGTCTTCATCTACTGAATCTTCATCTGCTGAATCATCATCTGCTGAATCTTCATCTGTTGAGTCTTCCTCTGCTGAATCTTCATCTGCTGAATCATCATCTGCTGAATCATCATCTGCTGAATCTTCATCTGCTGAATCTTCATCTGCTGAATCTTCATCTGCTGAATCATCATCTGCTGAGTCTTCATCTGTTGAATCATCCTCTGCTGAATCTTCATTTGCTGAATCATCATCTGTTGAATCTTCATCTGCTGAATCATCATCTGCTGAATCTTCATCCGCTGAATCATCATCTGCTGAATCTTCATCCGCTGAATCATCATCTGCTGAATCATCATCTGTTGAATCATCATCTGCTGAATCTTCATCTGCTGAATCATCATCTGCTGAATCATCATCTGTTGAATCATCATCTGCTGAATCTTCATCTGCTGAATCTTCATCTGTTGAATCATCATCTGCTGAATCATCATCTGTTGAATCATCATCTGCTGAATCATCATCTGTTGAATCATCATCTGCTGAATCTTCATCTGCTGAATCATCATCTGCTGAATCATCATCTGCTGAGTCTTCATCCGTCGAGTCTTCATCTGTTGAATCTTCATCTGTTGAATCTTCATCTGCTGAGTCTTCATCGGTGGAGTCTTCATCTATTGAATCATCCTCTGCTGAATCATCATCTGTTGAATCATCATCTGCTGAATCATCATCTGTTGAATCATCATCTGCTGAATCTTCATCTGCTGAATCATCATCTGCTGAATCATCATCTGCTGAATCATCATCTGTTGAATCATCATCTGCTGAATCTTCATCTTCTGAATCATCATCTGTTGAATCATCATCTGCTGAATCTTCATCTGTGGAATCTTCATCTGCTGAATCTTCATCTGCTGAATCATCATCTGCTGAATCATCATCTGCTGAGTCTTCATCCGTCGAGTCTTCATCTGTTGAATCTTCATCTGTTGAATCTTCATCTGCTGAGTCTTTATCGGTGGAGTCTTCATCTATTGAATCATCCTCTGCTGAATCATCATCTGCTGAATCTTCATCTGCTGAATCATCATCTGCTGAATCATCATCTGCTGAGTCTTCATCGGTGGAGTCTTCATCTATTGAATCATCATCTGCTGAATCATCATCTGCTGAGCCTTCATCCTCTGCTAGTAGTGAATGTGTTGAACCTCCAAGCTCTCATGATTGTTCATCCAGTTGCAAGGGTTTGAATAAATTTGTTGGTCTATGCAAATCTTCTAATTTCCAATGTTCTCAGTTTAATGATGGTTATCAAAATGATTTCAATACTTGTTATCAGGGTCAACACCATTACGGACACAAATTTGGTATTGATGATTCCGACTTTAATGTCATTAAGAGCAAATACAAGGATTGTGGTCACACAACAACTACTATCGAATACTGCTCTTATTCAACTTCTGAATATGAAGAAAGCACTACTGAATATGAATCATCATCTGAGACTTATACTGTTGAGTCTTCTTCAGCTAGTGATGAGTGTGTTGAAATTCCAAGTGAAAATGATTGCCATTCCAGTTGCAACAAGCTATCAGGTATTGTTGGAAATCTCAGAAATGGTAAATATAAGTGTTCCGATCTTGATGACAATTACAAGAAGTACTATAACAAGTGTTACATTGGAAAGAATCACTATGGCAACAACTTTGGATTTAATGATAATGACTTCGGTGTTGTTGAGTCGAAGATGGGTGGTTGCCAGATCCCACCACCAGATGTTAATTATTGTTCATCAACGTCATCAGCTGAATCATCATATGTAGAGTCGTCCTCTGCTGAATCATCATCTGCTGAATCATCATCTGCTGAATCATCATCTGTTGAATCATCATCTGCTGAATCTTCATCTTCTGAATCATCATCTGTGGAATCATCATCTGCTGAATCATCATCTGCTGAATCTTCATCTGTTGAATCTTCATCTGTTGAATCTTCATCTGCTGAATCTTCATCTGCTGAATCTTCATCTGTTGAATCTTCATCTGCTGAATCATCATCTGCTGAATCATCATCTGCTGAATCATCATCTGTTGAATCATCATCTGCTGAATCTTCATCTGTTGAATCATCATCTGCTGAATCATCATCTGCTGAGTCTTCATCCGTGGAGTCTTCATCTATTGAATCATCCTCTGCTGAATCATCATCTGCTGAATCATCATCTGCTGAATCATCATCTGCTGAATCATCATCTGCTGAATCTTCATCTGCTGAATCTTCATCTGTTGAATCTTCATCTGCTGAATCATCATCTGCTGAATCTTCATCTGCTGAATCTTCATCTGCTGAATCTTCATCCGTGGAGTCTTCATCTATTGAGTCTTCCTCTGTTGAATCATCTACAGTTGAATCTACTACAGTTGAATCATCATCTGCTGAATCTTCATCTGCTGAATCTTCATCTGCTGAATCTACTACAGTTGAATCTACTACAGTTGAATCATCATCTGCTGAATCATCATCCGCTGAATCATCATCTGTGGAATCATCATCTGTTGAATCTTCATCTGCTGAATCATCATCTGTTGAATCTTCATCTGCTGAATCATCATCTGTTGAATCTTCATCTGCTGAATCTTCATCTGCTGAATCTTCATCTGTTGAATCTTCATCTGCTGAATCATCATCTGCTGAATCATCATCTGCTGAATCATCATCTGCTGAATCTTCATCTGTTGAATCATCATCTGCTGAATCATCACCTGCTGAGTCTTCATCCGTGGAGTCTTCATCTATTGAGTCTTCATCTGCTGAATCTTCATCTGTTGAGTCTTCATCCGCAGAATCATCATCTGCTGAATCTTCATCTGCTGAGTCTTCATCCGTGGAGTCTTCATCTATTGAGTCTTCCTCTGCTGAATCTTCTTCTGCTGAATCATCATCTGCTGAGTCTTCATCCGTGGAGTCTTCATCTGTTGAATCTTCATCAGCTGAATCTTCATCTGCTGAATCATCATCTGCTGAATCATCATCTGCTGAATCTTCCTCTGCTGAATCTTCATCTGCTGAATCATCATCTGCTGAATCATCATCTGCTGAATCTTCATCTGTTGAGTCTTCCTCTGCTGAATCTTCATCTGCTGAATCATCATCTGCTGAATCATCATCTCCTGAATCTTCATCTGCTGAATCTTCATCTGCTGAATCATCATCTGCTGAGTCTTCATCCGTGGAGTCTTCATCTATTGAATCATCATCTGCTGAATCATCATCTGCTGAGTCTTCATCTGTTGAATCATCATCTGCTGAATCATCATCTGCTGAATCTTCATCTGTTGAATCATCATCCGTGGAGTCTTCATCTATTGAATCATCATCTGCTGAATCATCATCTGCTGAGCCTTCATCCTCTGCTAGTAGTGAATGTGTCGAACCTCCAACCTCTCATGATTGTTCATCCAGTTGCAAGGGTTTGAATAAATTTGTTGGTCTATGCAAATCTTCTAATTTCCAATGTTCTCAGTTTAATGATGGTTATCAAAATGATTTCAATACTTGTTATCAGGGTCAACACCATTACGGACACAAATTTGGTATTGATGATTCCGACTTTAATGTCATTAAGAGCAAATACAAGGATTGTGGTCACACAACAACTACTATCGAATACTGCTCTTATTCAACTTCTGAATATGAAGAAAGCACTACTGAATATGAATCATCATCTGAGACTTATACTGTTGAGTCTTCTTCAGCTAGTGATGAGTGTGTTGAAATTCCAAGTGAAAATGATTGCCATTCCAGTTGCAACAAGCTATCAGGTATTGTTGGAAATCTCAGAAATGGTAAATATAAGTGTTCCGATCTTGATGACAATTACAAGAAGTACTATAACAAGTGTTACATTGGAAAGAATCACTATGGCAACAACTTTGGATTTAATGATAATGACTTCGGTGTTGTTGAGTCGAAGATGGGTGGTTGCCAGATCCCACCACCAGATGTTAATTATTGTTCATCAACGTCATCAGCTGAATCATCATCTGTAGAGTCGTCCTCTGCTGAATCATCATCTGCTGAATCATCATCTGTTGAATCATCATCTGCTGAATCTTCATCTGTTGAATCATCATCTGCTGAATCATCATCTGCTGAGTCTTCATCCGTGGAGTCTTCATCTATTGAATCATCCTCTGCTGAATCATCATCTGCTGAATCATCATCTGCTGAATCATCATCTGCTGAATCATCATCTGCTGAATCTTCATCTGCTGAATCTTCATCTGTTGAATCTTCATCTGCTGAATCATCATCTGCTGAATCTTCATCTGCTGAATCTTCATCTGCTGAATCTTCATCCGTGGAGTCTTCATCTATTGAGTCTTCCTCTGTTGAATCATCTACAGTTGAATCTACTACAGTTGAATCATCATCTGCTGAATCTTCATCTGTTGAATCTTCATCTGCTGAATCATCATCTGCTGAATCATCATCTGCTGAATCTTCATCTGCTGAATCTTCATCTGCTGAATCTTCATCTGTTGAATCATCATCTGCTGAATCATCATCTGCTGAGTCTTCATCCGTGGAGTCTTCATCTATTGAATCATCCTCTGCTGAATCATCATCTGCTGAATCATCATCTGCTGAATCTTCATCTGCTGAATCATCATCTGCTGAGTCTTCATCCGTGGAGTCTTCATCTACTGAATCTTCATCTGCTGAGTCTTCATCCGTGGAGTCTTCATCTATTGAGTCTTCCTCTGCTGAATCTTCCTCTGCTGAATCATCATCTGCTGAGTCTTCATCCGTGGAGTCTTCATCTGTTGAATCTTCATCAGCTGAATCTTCATCTGCTGAATCATCATCTTCTGAATCATCATCTGTTGAATCATCATCTGCTGAATCTTCATCTGTTGAATCTTCATCTGCTGAATCATCATCTGCTGAATCATCATCTGCTGAATCTTCATCCGCTGAATCATCATCTGTTGAATCATCATCTGCTGAATCATCATCTGTTGAATCATCATCTGTTGAATCTTCATCTGTTGAATCTTCATCTGCTGAATCATCATCTGTTGAATCTTCATCTGCTGAATCTTCATCTGCTGAATCTTCATCTGTTGAATCTTCATCTGCTGAATCATCATCTGCTGAATCATCATCTGCTGAATCTTCATCTGCTGAATCTTCATCTGCTGAATCTTCATCTGTTGAATCATCATCTGCTGAATCATCATCTGCTGAGTCTTCATCCGTGGAGTCTTCATCTGTTGAATCTTCATCTGCTGAATCTTCATCTGCTGAATCTTCATCTGCTGAATCATCATCTGCTGAATCATCCTCTGCCGAATCTTCATCTGCTGAATCATCATCTGTTGAATCTTCATCTGTTGAATCTTCCTCTGCTGAATCATCATCTGCTGAATCATCATCTGCTGAGTCTTCATCCGTGGAGTCTTCATCTGTTGAATCTTCATCAGCTGAATCTTCATCTGCTGAATCATCATCTTCTGAATCATCATCTGTTGAATCATCATCTGCTGAATCTTCATCTGCTGAATCTTCAACTGTTGAGTCTTCCTCTGCTGAATCTTCAACTGCTGAATCTTCATCCGCTGAATCATCATCTGTTGAATCATCATCTGCTGAATCATCATCTGTTGAATCATCATCTGTTGAATCTTCATCTGCTGAATCATCATCTGCTGAATCTTCATCTGCTGAATCTTCATCTGTGGAATCATCATCTGCTGAATCATCATCTGCTGAATCATCATCTGCTGAGTCTTCATCCGTGGAGTCTTCATCTGTTGAATCTTCATCTGCTGAATCTTCATCTGCTGAATCTTCATCTGCTGAATCATCATCTGCTGAATCATCCTCTGCCGAATCTTCATCTGCTGAATCTTCATCTGCTGAATCTTCATCTACTGAATCTTCATCTGCTGAATCATCATCTGTGGAATCTTCATCTGCTGAATCATCATCTGCTGAATCATCATCTGCTGAATCATCATCTGTTGAGTCTTCATCTGCTGAATCATCATCTGCTGAATCTTCCTCTGCTGAATCATCATCTGCTGAGTCTTCATCCGTGGAGTCTTCATCTGTTGAATCTTCATCAGCTGAATCTTCATCTGCTGAATCATCATCTTCTGAATCATCATCTGTTGAATCATCATCTGCTGAATCTTCATCTGCTGAATCTTCAACTGTTGAGTCTTCCTCTGCTGAATCTTCAACTGCTGAATCTTCATCCGCTGAATCATCATCTGTTGAATCATCATCTGCTGAATCATCATCTGTTGAATCATCATCTGTTGAATCTTCATCTGCTGAATCATCATCTGTTGAATCTTCATCTGCTGAATCTTCATCTGCTGAATCTTCATCTGTTGAATCTTCATCTGCTGAATCATCATCTGCTGAATCATCATCTGTTGAATCTTCATCTGCTGAATCTTCCTCTGCTGAATCATCATCTGCTGAATCATCATCTGCTGAATCATCATCTGCTGAATCATCATCTGTTGAATCATCATCTGCTGAATCTTCATCTGCTGAATCTTCAATTGTTGAGTCTTCCTCTGCTGAATCTTCATCTGCTGAATCTTCATCCGCTGAATCATCATCTGTGGAATCATCATCTGCTGAATCTTCATCTGCTGAATCATCATCTGTTGAATCTTCATCTGCTGAATCATCATCTGCTGAGTCTTCATCCGTAGGGTCTTCATCTATTGAGTCTTCCTCTGCTGAATCTTCATCTGTGGAATCTTCATCTGCTGAATCTTCATCTGCTGAATCATCATCTGCTGAATCATCATCTGCTGAGTCTTCATCCGTGGAGTCTTCATCCGTTGAATCTTCATCTGCTGAATCTTCATCTGCTGAATCTTCATCTGCTGAATCTTCATCTGCTGAATCATCATCTGCTGAATCATCATCTGCTGAGTCTTCATCTGCTGAATCATCATCCGCTGAATCTTCATCTGTTGAGTCTTCCTCTGCTGAATCTTCATCTGCTGAATCATTATCTGTGGAATCTTCATCTGCTGAGTCATCATCTGCTGAATCTTCATCTGTTGAATCATCATCTGCTGAATCTTCATCTGCTGAATCTTCATCCGTGGAGTCTTCATCTGTTGAATCTTCATCTGCTGAATCTTCATCTGCTGAATCTTCATCTGCTGAGTCTTCATCCGTGGAGTCTTCATCTATTGAGTCTTCCTCTGCTGAATCTTCATCTGCTGAATCATCATCTGCTGAATCTTCATCTACTGAATCTTCATCTGCTGAATCATCATCTGCTGAATCTTCATCTGTTGAGTCTTCCTCTGCTGAATCTTCATCTGCTGAATCATCATCCGCTGAATCATCATCTGCTGAATCATCATCTGCTGAATTATCATCTGTCGAATCATCATCTGCTGAATCTTCATCTGTTGAGTCTTCCTCTGCTGAATTATCATCTGCTGAATCATCATCTGTAGAATCATCATCTGCTGAGTCTTCATCCGTGGAGTCTTCATCTATTGAATCATCCTCTGCTGAATCTTCATCTGTTGAATCATCCTCTGCTGAATCATCATCTGCTGAATCTTCATCTGCTGAGTCTTCCTCTGCTGAATCATCATCTGCTGAATCATCATCTGCTGAGTCTTCATCCGTGGAGTCTTCATCTGTTGAATCTTCATCAGCTGAATCATCATCTGCTGAATCATCATCTGCTGAATCATCATCTGTTGAGTCTTCATCTGCTGAATCATCATCTGCTGAATCTTCATCTGCTGAATCATCATCTGCTGAATCATCATCTGCTGAATCATCATCTGTTGAATCTTCATCTGCTGAATCATCATCTGCTGAATCATCATCTGCTGAATCATCATCTGCTGAATCATCATCTTCTGAATCATCATCTGTTGAATCATCATCTGCTGAATCATCATCTGCTGAATCTTCAATTGTTGAGTCTTCCTCTGCTGAATCTTCATCTGCTGAATCTTCATCCGCTGAATCATCATCTGTGGAATCATCATCTGTTGAATCTTCATCTGCTGAATCATCATCTGTTGAATCTTCATCTGCTGAATCATCATCTATTGAATCATCCTCTGCTGAATCTTCATCTGTTGAATCTTCATCTGTTGAATCATCATCTGCTGAGTCTTCATCGGTGGAGTCTTCATCTATTGAATCATCCTCTGCTGAATCTTCATTTGCTGAATCATCATCTGCTGAATCATCATCTGCTGAATCTTCATCTGTTGAGTCTTCCTCTGCTGAATCTTCATCTGCTGAATCATCATCTGTGGAATCTTCATCTGCTGAATCATCATCTGCTGAGTCTTCATCCGTAGGGTCTTCATCTATTGAGTCTTCCTCTGCTGAATCTTCATCTGTGGAATCTTCATCTGCTGAATCTTCATCTGTTGAATCATCATCTGCTGAATCTTCATCTGTTGAATCTTCATCTGTTGAATATTCATCTGCTGAATCTTCATCTGCTGAATCAATGTCCGTCGAGTCATCTTCTGTTGAGTCTTTATCGGTTGCATCTACATTTGCTGAATCTTCATTTTTCGAATCTTCATTAGCTGAAATTTCGTCTTCTCAATCTTTATTTACTGAAAGTTCCCTTATCTTTACTTCACCTATATCTTCCGAGTCATATTCCTCTACTCAGACTTCTGAGTTCTCCTCATTGGAATTCTCTTCTTTTGAGTCATTATCACATGAGTCTTTGTTTTCTGAGTCATCGTCGAGTGAATCTTCGGTTGTGGAATCGTCTGTTCCTAAGTCTTCTACTACAGAGTCTATTCCATATGTCTCTTCCTCCGAACAGTTGTCACTTGAATCTACTTCCAGTTTTGTTTCTTCATTTGTCGAGTCTATTGAATCATCTTCAGAGTTTGTTTCTCACTTTACCTCTGTTGTTATTTCTGAATCTCCCTCAGTTTCTATCCCGGCAGTTATTTCTTCATCCGAATATATTCAGTCAGAACTTATTTCATCATCTTATGAATCGCTCGAATCTACTTCAGCTGAATCTGTTTCTGGATCGACTTCCCAGTCTGCTTCCATATCTCTCTCTTTACCAGTTTCTCAATCTCCCGGTGTAACCTTTACCTCGACTGAAGTTACCACTATTTCTGGCACTCCTACTACTGTCACTGTTACTGAAACTTGCCATGCTTGTCATACGTACGTTACCACTGAGACTACAGTTACTACAACTGTTACAACATCTGGTACTGTTATTGTCACCGTTACTGAACCTTGTGAAACCACTGCAACTGTTGTTGAGTCTCCTGTTGTTTCCGGTTCCGTCACTCTTACTACCACCATCACTTTGCATCCATCTTCTCCCACTGTTACTGTTACTGAAACTTGCACTTCCTGCAAGACAGTTACCACAACAAGTACTGGTCTTGTTACTTATACCACGACATCTGGTGGTTCTGTTGAGACTGTCACTGTTCCTACCACTAGCACCATCACAATTGTTGAATCACCAGTTGTTACTGGAACTGTGACAAGCTATGCTACTGCTTCTTACCCAGGCCAATTTACTACAGTCACCAAGACTAGCAGTGGTTATACTACATATATTACCACTTCTGAAGGTATTGTTGTTACAGTTACTTCACCTTGTGCTACTACCATTACTGAGGTCCATTCTCCTGTTATATCTGGTTCCATTACTTCCTATGTCAATGTTCCTTCTACTCCTTCAGCTACAGTCTCAGAAATTACTGTTGTCAAGACTAGTGGTGGTTATTCCGCCTATACCACGACTTCTGAAGGCGTTGTCATAACTACATCAGCACCTTATGAAACTGTTATTACAGAGGTTTACACTCCTTCCGTTAAGCCAAGCACCGGTTTTACCACTTACGTTACCACTTCCGAAGGAGTTGTTGTTACTGTCACTGTTCCTTGTTCCACAGCTATAACTGAAATCGAGTCTCCCGTTGTTTCTGGATCCGTAACTAGCTATGTTACAGTTCCTTACACTTCGCCTGCTACTGGTTCTGAAGTCACTGTTGTTAAGACTTCCAGTGGCTATTCCGCTTACACCACTACTTCCGAAGGCGTTGTTATCACTACTTCAGCTCCTTATGAGACCGTTATTACTGAAGTTTACTCTACTGTTGCTTCCGGATCTGTGACTACAGTTGTTAAGACTAGCAGTGGTTTCACTACTTATGCTACTACTACTACTGAAGGCGTGGTTGTTACTGTTACTGTGCCTTGCGCCACTACCATCACAGAGATTGAGTCTCCTGTTGTTTCTGGAACCGTCACCACCTATATCACAGTTCCTAGTACCACTCCTGCCCCTGCACCTAAAATCATTGTCAAGACTAGCACAGGCTTTTCTGCTTACACATCTTCTTCTCCTGGGGTTGTTGTCACAAAATCTGTTCCCTACGAGACTGTCATTACTGAAGTTCATTCTACCATTGTTCTCGGTTCCCCAACCACTATTATCAAGACAAGCACGGGTTACTCTGCTTACACAACTACTTCTGAAGGTGTAGTTGTCACCACCTCTAAGCCTTTCGAAACCGTAATTACTGAGGTTGAGTCATCAGCATCCGGTTTCGTAACCACCTATGTCACTGTTCCTTCTACTGTTCTCGTTCCTGGTACAGAGGTTACAGTTGTTAAGACCAGCACTGGCTTCTCCACTTACACTACCACTTCTGAAGGCGCAGTCATCACTAAGTCTTTACCTTATGAGACCGTCATTACTGAAGTTCATTCTAATGTCGCTTCTGGTTCTGCAACAACAATTGTTAAGACCAGAAGTGGTTACGCCGCTTATACCACAACCTCTGGAGGTGTTGTGGTTGTAAGCTCCAAACCTTATACCACAGTTATCACGGAGATTGAGTCTCCAGCGATTTCTGGTGGTATTGCAACCGGTTCTGGTGCTCCTGGAACCACTCTTAGTTCTTCTGTGGTGCTGGGCTCTGGCTCCGGCACTGCTACTGCATATATCCCACAAGTCTCTCCAGGGACTTCGGGACCAATCGAGCAGGTTAATTCGGGTATTAGCTTGTCTACAGGTATTGCATTGCCCCTGCTCTCTTTGTTTATTTTGTTTTTGGTTTAAAAAAGCTCATTTTTTTTGAGTTGTAAATTTCTTTAATCGGGTTGTCATTTTGTATCTATTCTAAAACACTCCTTATATAAAATTGTATTTTTTGTAATTCTTTAATTATTAATTTTTTTTTAAATATTTTAAATCTGCTGTTTCTAAAATATCTTTTCACTTTAAAATCAGTAGTTTGAGGGTGTTAAGTTTTGTGATTAAAAAATAAATTTATTTAAAACTTAACCTTTCAATTAAAACCCCTGTATGATATCAATAAATAGCTTTGGGGGTTTATTAATTCCCACATTTACGCTATTTAGTAAACGCCTATTTATCACCACTATTTTTATATCGTCTCAGTTGAAATGATTTAAGTTAAGAACCAAGCCTTTACGACCTGCTAATAATCTTACCATCTGGAGCCGAACCTTCCTCAGTAGGGCTCTATCGATCCTGTATATGTGAGCTTGAATTAGATTCTTCTTGCAGTGTGCTGCTCTGATAATCCAGCTGCAATTGTCGCAAACGTTAATTTATAAACTTGAGCGCAGGAGACAACGATAACCCTGTGATCATATTTTGAAATAATATGTTTTTTATAAGTGTCCAACAACATTAAGCAGGGAGGTTCTATGATATCCACAATATGATTTATTATAGGAGATTTCAGGCACAGTTTGTTCAAAGGCCGCACAAAAGCAGGCTGTGAAATTTTAATTAAAAGTTCAACTCGAAAACAGTTCAATGTATATGGCAAGGATGTTTGTTTATTTATTTTGTATATTATATTTAATTCTTGCTTTAAAACAAAAAAGGAAATTTTTTTGACTTTTGTCAACAAAGAGTGGTGTATTTATGTTTTGTTCAACCAGAACCCAAACCCTAAACCATATAATTGTTATTTTTTTTTTACGTTTTTTTTATCTTCACTAGTGACGATTACTTAGGAATTCTTTTAATTTCTTTTTTAAGGGTTCAATTTTTTTTTTATTAATAAATAAATATTTATTTAAAATGAGCTTTAATTCTACTTTTGCTCATTTTTTGCTACCGTGTCCTGAGTACTTTTTGATTCAAGAATAATATAATATCCATATGAACAATACATTGTCTTAAACCGCTTGATCTTCTTTTTTTTTTTTTTTTTTTTTTTTTTTTTTTTTTTTTACAATGTAAATAAAACCTCATTTATTGAAACAAAAATTGTATATAAATAAATAAAACTACATCAAAACTTGTGGTCTAATTGTATATAAAGTCCAAGTCTATTAAATATAACAGCCCTTATCCCATAATTTCATGATTCGTGATCATCTTCCTCCTCTTCTTCACCCCATTCACGTAGGCCGCTAGCCACAAAAATCTCTGCAATAACAACACCAGCCATGATCCACCAGGCTAATCCAACTATACCAATGTGAACACCCCACGAGTACAAGTTGCCTAGTACAAAAGGTCCCATGCACTTGGCCACCGATGTGACGCTGGCTGCAAGTCCATGGATTTTGCCCATTGCTCGCTCGCGATGCGACTCTGTGGCAGCATTGGTCAGTAGCACAGGCATAGGTGGAATGGCAAGAGTACGGCCTAAAATGGCGGCCATGGCAATCGGCACAATAGCTGCAACTGTAGTCCAACGCGAGTCCTGAGTAGAACCAGAATAGCCCTTGCGAGTAAGAAGTGTAGTAAAGGGGGCAAGAACATAGGCAATGGGGAAAATGTAGAGCGAGACACGGTGTGCACGGGCGTTACCAATGGCAGCTGCAATACGCGGGTAGGCAGCAAACTGTAATATAATACCAGTCATTCCCATAAGAGCTATGGCCGCGCCGATTCGTGACTCAGGCATCCCCAGACCACCATCAAAAACTAGTGGCAAGTGTTCGTTAAGTGAAGTGTTAGAGATCACACGTGGCGTGGCCATGTAGAGGGGTAACATTTGAAGAAAGGCAGGGCAGTGAAACATGAGTAGGGTATAGCAAGTAATGGTTACTGCCACTGGTCGTGTGAGGATGTCACGCAAACCAAACTCAGGTTCAGAATGGTTTGTTGGTTCCACAATAGACATAGTGGATGTCTCCGTAGTATTGTTATTGGAAACATATGCGTCGGCAATCTCTTCCTCTTCTTCCTCAAGAAGAGAGTCTTCGTCTTCTTCAGTCGACGACACCATAGTGTATGATGAGTAGGAGGTAGATTTCCCGCGCAACCAGTTGCCGAGTCTAAGCCCAGGATCGTATTCTGGAGGCCACCAGACGTCGGGTCCAGTTTGGGTTTCCTTTAAGAAGAGCATGCATATGACCATGGCCACGGCAAGCAGTGGCATAGGGAAGATGTTAGGTAGAAGGTATGGGAATTTTTTGAAAAGGGCAACTTTGCCGATCCATGAGTTGGGGTAAGCCGTTGCCGGGTCAGCCAGCATTCCGCCAACAACGGGTCCGAGGATTGTTCCAATGTTAAAGGTGATGGGCATGACTGTGAAAGCACGCGACTGATATTCTTTGTGTCCCACGCAGAGTTCGGCAATCATAGTTCGCATAACGCCGACGTTACCGTTGAGCGTGCCGGCCAGCAACCTCGCTCCAGTGGCCACGTAGACGTCGGTTGCAAATCCGAATATGAGAGTTGCAACGGCAGTTCCAATCAAGCCAAACATAATTACGGGTTTGCGCCCGATCCGATCAGAAAGAGACCCCCAGTACATGCCGGTGGCCGCTTGGCCCAGCGCAAACCCGGATACAACAATGGTGCCCAGAGCCGTGATGGTTGCTGGAGACTTATATCCAAACCATTCCACAAGATAATAAAGATAAGGGGAAATGGATGTATAAGCCAAGGGCTCAATCAGACGGCAAATCACCAGGACCAAAATCTGGTCGCGATGCGGGAGCGTCAAGTATGAGGGCCCAGCCATTTGTATAGGTGGTATATCTAAGGGTGGTGAGTAATTTCAATGAGGGAAATAAAAAAATTAAAAAAAAATTAAAAAAAAATTAAAAAAAAACTAAAAAAAAATTAAAACAAAATTAAAAATTTTTGTGCTTCCATTAAATTACAAATTTTCTATAGTCATAAAGTCATAAGTTTTATCATCTCTTTTTTTTTTTGGTTATTTACTTGCGATAACCATAGTACAAGTAAATTCCACGTTCTTTGCATGAATTTGCCGTCATATTGCCACCGAGACCCACAAAGCAGACATTTACTTTGCGGCTCGCGTTGCGCCATGCCGGGCTACCCATATCCATGCCCAGGACTGTGACGGGACGTGCTTCTGGAGATCCAACAGGCGAGAGTGTAGGGCTATTAGAAGCCGATGCAGCAGCAATGGCGGCCTTCTTTTCACGAATGCGGTTTTTGGCATAAGCAGCAAAAGTAAAGCCTTGTGTAGGTTGAAGCTGTGGCGAGGTAACAGTCATTTCTTGGAGGGTTCCATTAATGACAGAAGGCCCATTACATGTAGTAGAGTTGAGAGTCTTGTTGGTAGGGACCCTGTCACCTCGGAAAAGCCAGCCACGGCGACCTTGACCAAGAGCCGCAGTAAAGCCTGGAATTACAATACCATCGAGCTTGGCCAGCAAGTCGCGGTTAAACTCGAACATAGCGATATTAGTGTTTGCATTAAGAAGTGTGAGGTCCTGGATAGTCCAGATATTGATATTGGGGTTGCCTGCAAGATCGACATATTCAAGTCGTGGCAGCTTTGGGAGGAAGCGTTTAAGATCATCAATAGTAACATTAACGTAGCCAAGAGAAAGAGAAACCAAATCCATAGAGACAAGAGGGTCGAGGTTGCGAACAGGCAGCCCATGCAAGTTGAGGTATTCGAGAGGAGGGAGATAGCGGAGGACTGTTGCAAGATCGGCAGCGGAAATGGGGGAAGGTCGGGTAGCTTCAAACATCATATTGAGCCATTTGAGAGTGCGAGCAGCCTTGTGAAGAACGAGAAACTTAAGAGTACCATCTGAGGAAAGACGGACGCACTTGGAGATGGATAAATGTGTAAGGTGAGCAGAAGAAGGAAGGGAAAGAAGAGCATCTGAGGTAATTTGAGTATGAGTAAGGTCCAGACGTGTCAAGTTGGGGAGACGTTGCAAGAGGGCTCCAATGACGGCTGAGGGGAGGGTAGAGCATCCATGGAGAGATAAACGGGTAATGTGAGGGAGGGGTCGTGAGTAGTATGCGAGAGCGGCCTTGTCAGTGATGCGCTCAAGGGCACCTGTTTCTGTAAAGTAAAAGCCGCACGATGTTGCAATGGCCTCTACAAACGTCGAGTTTGTTGCGCCACAAAAATCCAGAGCCTGGAGGTAAGGCAAGCTAAAGAGTTTTTCAACTACGGCGGCGTCCATGTCTCTATCGATATTTTCAGAGGCCAAAAACTCATTAAGATTTGGGCAGAGTTCGAGGGCTCTAAGAATGGTGCGGGAAGTGACCATTTGAATTTCCTGATTCATGCGGCTTGAGCGACCGAGGCCAACAGAGGTGAACCCTGAAAAGTCTAATGTACGGGTAAGCACGCCATAACCCGTTTTTTCAATAGATGTTAAAAAGCGGTCAAAAGCGTGTGGGTGGGCAAATGCAACATGTCTATAGAGAATAGGAGTGCCAACATCGTAGAGGGCTGGGCAAATAGTCAAGAGCCGCGAGAAGCGGTCGACAGTAGAGTAGTAATTTGCTGGGTTTCCGTTACATTCCTGGAGAATAACGTCCTGGAGGATTTGAGTGAGGATTTCAGTTGGCATATTTTCCAAGCAGTTTTTATTATTTTTAATTGTTGGACGCAGCTGGATAGTTTGAGTATGAGCAGAGGCCGGAGAGAGCGAAAAGTCAGGGACGTAGTTCATCGCTGCAAAGTCAGCAGACGAAGCGACCCTAGATGGTGCTCTTGAGCAAGGCTTGCTGAGAATGTGTTTATCATGCTGGTCAAAGAGGAGAGTAGAAGGATGGAAAGGAGTTTCAAAAGCTGGCATTAAAGTATTTGAAAGGTATTATATATAGTAGTAGTAAGTAATAAGATAAGTTTGCTGGAATAAATAAAATAATAAAAATAAATATTGATATGGATATCTGGATAAGGAATGAAAAAAAAAATAAAAATTAAAAAGAATAAAAAGAAGAAGAAGAAAAAAATTTTTTTTAGGGAAGACCTGTCTATTTATACTTTTTGATGTTTTAATATTTTTTTTTTTTTTATTCTTCTTCTTCTTTCAAAATTGCTTAATAAAAAAATTTTTTTTTCTTTATTTTTATTTTTTTTATTTCATGTCATCAAAAAACTCATCACCGCTCTTCTCCTCTTTTCCATTTTGCTTCAGCTGCGGGGAGGAGATAAAAATAACCACCCGGCAAAAACAATACTGAGCCTCAAAAAAAAAAAAATTGTCTGCGGCTCAGGTGCCTGTGCGGCGTACCCAATTACAAGTCACGTGGACTATTTATTGCTTCTTTTGCTACTAGATTTTGCTGGGCTTATCCGAAATGCTCTTCAATCTAAAATAATCTAAAATAATCTAAAATAATTTAAATTATAAAAAGTGTTAATAAAAAAAAAAAAAGCCACCTGGAATGAATGAATTAACTTGAAATTTATTTATTTATTTATTTATTTTTATTAAAATTTTTGAAATTTTGCTATTAAAGTTGACTTTAAAAAAAAAAAAAAATGTCGTTATATTTTATACAATTGGCGTTCTTATTATTATTATTATTATTATTATTATTATTATTATTATTATTATTATTATTATTATTATTATTATTATTATTATTATTATTATTATTATTATTATTATTATTATTATTATTATTATTATTATTATTATTATTATTATTATTTTTTTGTTGTTGTTGAGCAAAATTAAATAAAATTAAATAAAATTAAATAAAATTAAATAAAAAATGATTGTCAAAACGCGCAACTGTTGATTTTTTTGATTTTTTTGATTTTTTTGATTTTTTTGATTTTTTTGATTTTTTTGATTTTTTTGTTTTTTTGTTTTTTTGTTTTTTGCACATCAATCGGTTTCTTCTCGGTTATTATTGTTATTATTGTTATTATATACATATTATAATCTATATAGTACGCTCAAATACGATCAAAAAGGTGTCTTTTCAATTCTGACTCTTTTTTTTTTTTTTCTTCAATGGCTTTTCAACAATTAATTTATTATTGGCATCTCTATAGGTCAAAGAATTTTCTAATATATATATATATATATATATATACAAATATATATATAAATTTTTCTGCCGGGACTGCCGCTGTCCATGGAAAAACTGCTGCGTTTCCTTTTTGGGCCTTCCATAATGGAAGATTCAAAATAAAAAAAAAAAAAAAGGCGCCCCGGCTGGTTGCCTCCTCTTCTCCTCAGCTATCCACATGACCGGGTTTCCCACCGGCCGATGGAAGTTTCTGTTTTTTTTCTGTTGAGTCACGGCAAATTGCGGGGTAGTTTAGTATAATTAGGTAATTACTTAATTATAATTTTAATTTAATTTAATTTAATTTAATTTAATTTTAATGGTATTATGTAACTAGGGTAAGGGTATTTTTTTAATTTTATTCATAATTTTTTTTAAAAAAAAATAACGGGACCCATATTTCCGGAACTTCATTTCGGTACCCGATCGGGTCTTTCTTTTTTTTTTTTTTTGGAATTTTCAATTTTTTTTTTTTTTTTTTTTTTTTTTTTTTTTCCACGCCTCACACCTAAAAGTTATTGTGCCCTCACAGCCAATCACAAAACGCTTCCCTTTGGTATTTAGGTCTTGAACTCTTTTTTTTTTTTTGTTCTCTTAAACTAAAAAACTAAATACTTCCACCTGTTCAATCTTCTTTATTTCCAAAATAAACCTTCCATTTATATTTCAATAATAGAATTGAATCATTTATCTAGAGTAAAAGAAATAAAAAAAAAATTTTCACAAGCTTCATTTTATTCTCAAAAATAAAAATAAAAAAAAGACTCTTTTCTATTGCATTCTTTTCTATATATATATATATATATATATAAATATATACATACATAAAAAAAAAACGTGTATAATTCCCACCCCTTAAAGAAGTCTTTTTTTTTCTTTTCCTCCTCCACCCAACAACCTCCTTCGTTTCTTTCCTTTTATATACAAAAACAAAAAAAAACACCTCTTGAAAAGTTTTTTTTTTTTTTTCAAATTCGTTCATTGCAATTCAATTAGAGAGACTTTGAATATAAAAAATTAAAAATAAATAAAAATAAAAATAAAAATAAAAATAAAAATAAAAATAAAAATAAAAATCACTCAATGTCCGAGCCTTCAAATCCTACTCCAATTGTCTCCACTCCAAAGAAAGACAACGTGGAGAAACAGCAGATTCCTGCAACAACACCTGGCAAGACTGAAGATGCTCCAACTACCACTACAACAACACCACCACCTCCAAGCACTACAACCGATCCTACCAAATCAATCCAACAGCAACAGCAGCAACAACAGCAGCAACAACAACTTCCTCCAACTTCAATTGGCCCAGATCGTGACCCCGAAGCATCTGTCTACATCTCCGAAATCGACCAAACAGTCAACGAAGCTGATCTCTTTGACATTTTTTCAACCTACGGAAACATCCTCTCCATCCGTGTAGCTAAAGACCCTGTCTCCCGCGCCTCTCTTGGCTACGCCTATGTCAACTTCACCTCTCCTCAAGATGCTCAAGCTGCTCTTGCCTATGACTTTGCTCTCATCCATAACAAACCATGCCGTGTCTCTGCCTTTCAAAAAGATCCCACCCGTCGTAAAGCCCCTCCTAAAACCGCAGTCTACATCCGCAACTTAGAACCCACCGTCACTGAGGACCAACTCAAATCCCGCTTTGCTTCCTATGGCTCAATTGTCTCCACAAAAGTCGCCCCAGTTCCTGCCAGACAGGATTCAAATGACCTGGATGCTGATAATGATGCCCCTTCATACGTCTTTGCTTATGGTTGTGTCGAATTTGAAGCCCCAGAACAAGCCCTGGCCGCGATCAAGGCGGAAAATGGTACTCCCTTTGGATCCCGCACAATTTACACCTCTCACCACGTGTCTCGGCGCAACACAGACCGACCACCGCGCCAACCTCACCATCATCACTTCCATAATCACCACCACCACCATAACAACAACAACAGTAACAACAACAGCAACCATAACCTTCACAACAATAATAGCAACATACCCGATGACTATACAAACTTACTTGTCAAAAATATTGATCCTACAGCCCCAGAGAATGAACTTCTTGACTTGTTTGCCCAACATGGTGAAATTGCTTCTCATACACTCCCCATCGACCCTAAAACTGGCTCTCGCAAGGGCTTTGGTTTTGTTGCATTTAAATCTCATGATTCCGCTGCTAGTGCAGAGCAAGCTCTCAATGGATCCCAGTTCTATGGTATCGAATTAATCGTCTCTCGTGCCCAGCAACATCATCATCATCACCACCATCATCATAACAACAATAACAACCATCACCACCGTAGACCTGATGATGCCTTACGTAGAAACAGCCCTGGACCAGCTTCTTCAACAGGCTCTCCCTCTCCAGCCCCATTCACTACCCCCAGCAATAATACAACCAACCTCTACATCAAGTACTTGGACGTTGCAATTGACGACGCTGAACTAAGACGCTTATTTGCTCGTCACGGTACTATCACCTCAGCACGCGTTATGCTCGATGAGTCTGGCCAATCCAGAGGGTTTGGGTTTGTCTGCTACGCCGCCCCAACCGAGGCCCAGGCTGCCATTGCTGAAATGCACGGCGCCGAAGTCCGCGGGAAATCATTGTATGTAACCATTGCCCAGCGTCGTGACAAGCACCCAGCCGGCCTGCTGCGCGGGCACCGTGGGGGCCCCCGCAATAACAACAATATTGGCCCAAACGCAGCAAACAGTAATGGCACCCCCATTTACCTCCAACAGCAACAACACCCTCACCACCACCATCCCCACCAACAAGCAGCTTTTACTGCTGCCCCATTCTTCAGTCCCTATTACTTAGCAGCCGCCGCTGCTGCTGCCGCAGGTATGCCTGCCCCACCACCTCCTCCACCTCCCGGAAGCGCTCCTGGTGCCGCCCAGGGTAACATGATTTATAACCCGTATGGTGCCGGATACCCTGCCATGATGGCTCTTAGTGCACAAGTTCCCCCTCCTCAAGCGTTCCGCAAGAATCCCGGCAGTGGCAACGGCGGTCGATCTTCTGGACAAGGAAACAATAACAACAATGGTGCTGGGGAAAAGAAGTATAACTTTAATGGCCGGTATTACGGGAATACCAGTAGCCCCAATATCACTCCCACTGGAAGCAAACAGCAGAGCACTTCTAGCGGTGGCGCATCGCCCGTTGCCGGATCGCCAAATGTACAATCACCCCCTGCCACAACATCGTCTGCATCTGCATCTTCTGCCACAGTTCCAGCGTCAACCACTCTTAGCGCTGCGCTAGCGTCTGCTGCCAATGCTGAGGCTGAGCGCCAGGTGATTGGTGAGGCCTTGTATCCTAAAGTCCAGCGTCATGTGGCCGTACGTAACGATAGCGAGCTGGCTGCCAAACTCACGGGAATGATGCTTGACATTTCGGCCGAAGAGCTACTTAGGTGGATTGATGATGACGCTGTTTTGGCTGCCCAGATCCAAGAAGCTTATGACCAGTACATGGAGTTTCTTGAGAATAAGGATGATGCTGAGTAAATGTTTGTAATTGTGTGAAATTGTGTGTATATAGTAGTACTAGATTTAAATGAATGTCTTTTTTTTTTTTTTACAGTATGTTGTTGTTTCAATTAATTCAAGGGATTTTTCATTTGATAGTCGCCATTGTCATTAATAACTAGCAATAAGTTTATAAGGTCCAGTGTTTATTCTAATAGCAGCTAGATCTATCGTCAATATTTTTATTTCATTTAGAATAGCACTACCTGGATATACATACAATACATGGATATAACTATTTTTAAATAGTTAATTAAACATAAATATATCTGTAAGCTTGTTTATATATGATTACTAAAACTTTAGAATTTTAATATAACTTAGTTAAGCCACGTTAAGTTAAGAAATCAAAATGTGTGCTTATCATCAAGAGGCTAAATTTTGAGAGAAAAAAAAATTGCTTCAGATTATCAACTATACTATCAATTATAGCAAAAAAATAAAAATAAAAATAAAAATAAAAATAAAAATAAAAATAAAAATAAAAATAAAAATAAAAATAAAAATAAAAATAAAAATAAAAATAAAAATAAAAATAAAAATAAAAATAAAAATAAAAATAAAAATAAAAATGGATTTTAATCATTCAATCTTTCTTAAAACTTTTTTTTTTGGCTTTTTATAAAAAATTAGATATATACTTATATCTAATCGTTCATTTTCCCTTTTTTTTTTTTTTCAAAATACATTAAAAGATAATTTATTCACTACTTTAAGAAAAAAAAAAACTTGTGGCCAAAATTTAAAATTTTGCAAAGTGGCTTGTCAAAAAGAAACTCAAACCCTAATGTCATAATAATAATAATAATAATAATAATAATAATAATAATAATAATAATAATAATCCATACAATCCGAAAATGATTTGTTATTTTACAAAGTTAAAGATCATTGGTAATAAATATTTATATATATATATTAGAGATGGTTTTAGTATTACTAACTTTCCAGTTTATTGAAACACTATGAAAAAAAAAAAAAAAATTAGAAATAATTCTATTATAAAAGCCATGAATGGTGGTGGTGGTTTGGGGGGAAAAAAGTAATGTTTATGTCAAGCACAAAAATATGGGCAGTGATAATATCTGGTTGTTACACAAAACAAATATTCGTGTGCGATATTTAAAAACAAAAAAAAAAAAAAAAAACCAGGTCAATTAATGAATACCCTAACCCTTGAGAAATTTGTTGCTAGCTAGCTAATTTCAGTTTGACATTGTTCATTTTAGCTGAGTTCATATTACAACCGAATATGAGACATTTGTGCAAAAAATAAAGTTTTTGGTATGTCTTGTAAATAAAATCACTAATTTGTTAAAAAATTAGTACAAAACACTTTATCCAGATGATTTTATGTGGCTAGTAATTGTTCCCATTTAGGCAAAAATGAAAACAAAACATGGCAAAATCTTGATTGAAAATGAAATTTGAATAATGTCTTTTTTTTTTTTTTTTTCCTAAACTGATCATTGATATTTAGTGGTTTAAATTTGTTACAAATAAAGATGCTACAAAAGTGTTAGGCTTGTTTTTTTTTTTTTTTTTTTTTTTATGAAGCATAACCAAATTTTTCAAAAAATACAACCAAAATATGCGCTAACCAATTAACATCAAGAGTCTGCGCTCGAAATTCTGGTAACATTTTGGCATCATGATCCAACATAAGCTTACAATGTGAAACAAAATACTGTTCTAGAACTGTTAAAACTTCGGCAGTTGGTTACAGCATCAGGCGTACATCAAGCATAACTATTGTTAAGAGAAAACTACTAAGTTATCCCAAGAATATTAATAAAGAAGAAAAAGATAACCTGAGAAAAAAAAAAACCTTCTATTTTGAAAACTGCACCGTTTCATCGTTTAGAAAATCATTCCACAATAACCTTATACCAATACAAACCAGACTTTGTGCATACTGGTCGACAGCAAACCAGGACAAACAGTTGAATAATATCCGTTTCCTCCTTATATCAAATTCTATGATGGTGCAAAAATTAAGAATATATGAAACATTAGCTTTAAGACTAATTTTTTTTTTTCATAATTAAGTTACTTTTAACGACTTCTTTAAATACCTGGTTTAATTTTGTTCCTGCAGTGGTGAAAGAGTCCTATAAAGAATTAAACGATTTTTTTTTTCTTTTTGTCTTGTTTTCTATGTAATATCCTTTATTTTCAAAAAAAGCTCTTCTATCAAAAAAAAAAATAAATTAAAAAAGCAAGCATGTATTATCATGCTCGCTATATTATCAATGGTCATTGTGGATAACTACCATATTTTTTTTTAATTCTGCATAGACGAAGTGCAAATGCTGGTTTTGAGAATGCAATATGGGAACTACTGTAACCTTAAGTCTGAAATAATGTAAGCATAAAAAAAATAAAATATTATACTAATGAATAAAGATGACATTAACGCTTTTTGAATGAAATAACATGATTGTTTAAATAACAGTTTTCAAAAATTACGTATGAGAAGATATCATTAATTGCCTGTTTAAAAATAGTGTTATTTAATTAAGTTTCTAAAAAAAAAAAATAAAAATTGACCAACTTGAAAAGTAAGAGCTATTACCTTGAGAATTTCCATAAAGATACATAAGCATAAAAAAAACACTTGCTAGAAAAAAAAATTCTACTGCTAGAACTACCGTAACCTTAAGTTTGATTATACGTCAGAAAATAATACGAAAAAAGAATATGTTGAGCAACTATTTTTTTTTTCTTTTAACAAAATAAAAGCAAGTTGCTAATTATAATTTGAAAAATACAGTTTCCTAGTTTAACTTGAGGACTTTATTTGAAATAGTGTCTTTCAAATAGATGTACATTTGAAAGCCCAAAACCAAAATTATAAGAAATTAATAAAAGACTGAAGATTTAACTTGATTTGAACAGTATTCAAATCTCAGCCTTCAAATTTGTTTCATATTTTTAATACCATGTACAATAACTGCTTTGAGATTTGACAATTCAATATTCAGGGGTTAAAAAAGCTTAAAATTCAATGATGAGAAGAAGAATTAAATTAATTCAAGTTCATGAGAGGCGGTTTGCATTAGTTCTATTTAAAATATTGTAAATAGTGAGGTACTTTTTCATTTCAAAAGACATTATTTTGAAAAATAAAAAGAAAAGAAAAATAAAAAGAGACCAAATCGATGAGCAAATTTTAAAAAAAAAAAGTTCAAATTTAATTCAGGTACAAGTAGGCGATGGATGAAGTTTAAAAAAAAATTATTAACTACTAGTGTAGCAATAAATGATACTGATACTGATTCTAAGATGAAAAAAAAAAAAAAAAAAAAAACCAAAGTGAAATGAATTGGAAAACTAAAAACCAAAAAGAAATATAAACAAAATTAACAAACTGAAAATTTAACTTGATTTGAACAGTTTACAGCCTTAAAATTTGTTTCAAATGTCTTATTCCATATTCAATTGTAGCATTTAAAAGTTTGATTTGTTAATTTTCAGGGGGGGAAAGAAAAAAAAATTACAAAACTTCCACGAAAAATAAGAATCAAATTAATTCAAATTATTATAAACTAAATGGGATTACTTCCATTTAAGGCTTTCAAATACTTTTCTAAGTTTAAAGAGAGTTGTTTAAAAAAAAAAAAAGGGGTAAGCTTGATGAGCAAGTTTGCTCATCGAGTACTTAAGTGAATAAGGTTCAATTTGAATTCAGGTACAAGCGAAGGATGAAATGAAGGTAAAAACAAACAAATGTAGCAATGGGCTCATTGAATATAATTTGAAAAACTTTAAGTTAAAATTTTTATAATATTAATATAAAATTGAATGTTTAATTTGATTTAAACAAGTTAATCCGAATAGCTTTTGAATTTTTTTTTAAGTATCTAGTATTATATAGAATATATAATTGGAACCCTTGAGATAAATCCTTATCCGATATTTAGAAGGTAAACAAGAAATAAAACGTCTGTGATAGAAATAAGAATGAGATTTATTCAAGCTGGCTAGACTTAAATGCATTAGTTCCATCTAAAAGCCTTGATAATGTTGAGGTACTTTTTATGTATCTTAAAAAAAAAAAATCTAATTGAATTCAGGTACAAGCAAGTGATGAAATGAGATTTAAAAAATAGTACTAGTAAAGCCATGGACTTATTTTTTTTAAAAAAAAAAAAAAAAAAAAAAAAACCGAACCAAAAGGATACATTTAGAAGAAAACTTTAAGTAAAAAGTTTTTACAATATTAATAGGAAATTGAAATTTTAACTTGATTTGAATAATTTAATCCGTAAAGCCTTCAAATTTGTTTTAAATGTTTAATATACGATATTCTTTAAGAACTTTTGAAAAACTTTTATGCATTTCAAAAAAAAAACATAAAAAAAAATTCTAATGAAATTAAGGTAGAAGAAGCAAGCATGCGATGAAATGAGATTAAAAAAAAATAAACCTAGTGTAACTAACTATGGAATTATGTTAAAAGGGAGGAAACGAATGAAAAAGGTACATTTGGAAAAACTTAAAGTAAAAAAAAAAAAAAAAAAAAAAGTTTACAATATTAATAGGAAATTGAAAGATTAACTTGATTTGAACAATTTAATCCGGAAAGCCTTCAAGTTTGTTTCAAATGTTTAATATACCATTTAATTGTAGCTTTGAGATAAATCATTATCCGATATTCAGGAGAGAAACAGGAAACAAAACGTCTGAGATATAAATGAGAATAGAATTTAATCAAAAAGGTTAGACTTAAGTGCATTAGTTCCATCTAAAAGCCTTGAGAATGTTGAGGTACTTTTATGTATCTCAAAAAAAAAAAAAAAAGAAAAATAATAAATAAAAATACCCAAATTCAATTCAGGTACAAGCAAGCGATGAAAAGAGGTTAAAAAAAAATAAAACTAGTGTAGGTATTGACATGTTCTAAAAAGAAATAAAAAGGGATGAAAGATACATTTAGAAAACTTTAAGTGAAAAGGTTTTTTACATTATTAATAGGC